GGCTCCGTGTTGCTTTCAAGGATACATCAGCAGCCACTTCCTGCGAAGCCCTGAGCCCCTACCCCAACCCCTCGGTGTTATACAAGCACTCAATTGAGTATTTATAGTAGTTGGTTAGGAGCAGCCACCTTACATAATTGATTAAACCGAACGTAATTCGATATCCAGTCACGAGGCAAGCGACTTCAATAAGGGCTCTTAGCTTGTCTAAAAATGTGACAAGGGGTTAAAGTGAGAAACTTATTGCTAATTTAACAGCGAATTTGTCGGACTGGTCAAACAATGTGCAACTACAAAGAATTTCAACCATTATTTTTTCTACTTTTAAGTTTTAATTGGCAAAAGAATAGTTTGACCTGACAAAAACATATTTAACTGCCAGCTAAACTGCCTGATAAATCTTAAATAACAGCTTAGTTGTATAGAATACGAACAAAACATTTGACAATAAGTTAAAGTGGGTGTCAAATATAAAGGGTTGTCCCTTTTGTTGGCTTTTTCATATGTCTGAATCTAAACTGCCTAAGAAATATTTAACTGTCAGCTAAACTAGCTGGTAAATGTTAAATAACAGCACAGTTGTGTAGAATATGAACAACACATTTGACAATAAGTTAAAGCAGATGTCAAATATAAAAGGAAACCTAACTTAACTGCCTGGTAAAAGTTAATACATGGATGAGTTAATCACAATATAAATGGAAACAAGAAAACACACGTGACATAATTGTTGCTGAAGCTTAACTGCATGATAAGTATTAACAGGCAGATGGAAAAAACGCTACACATTTAACAACATGGCTAAGTTATTTGTCAAGCTTAAAAGGCAGCCTATTCACAATGGAAATGTTAAAGACATATTTCCCTGCATATTAATGAGGCTAAACTGCCTGTTAAATGTGTGCAGGCAGATTTGCCAGGGAAAAAGGAAAACCCCCAGATAAAACATTATGACAAGAGTAATTGTTAAGTTTGTTCGACAGCCTACTGACAACACAGAACACGCAGAAGCATGGCATATTTATGGAGATAAACTGCTTGGTAAATGTTAACATGCGGATAACTAACTAGACGAACATGTAAGACAAGCAAAACATTTGACAACCAGCCAAAAGTATTTGTCCGACACAGAATTCAGCGAGTTGTTGCATATTATGGAGACTGGCTGTCAAAATTAATGGCCCACACATCATGCGATAGCCAGAAATGGCAGCTCGTATTTATGGCGCTTCTTGCCAGCGATTTGGCCAAAACGGGTTTCGGCTTTTTGGGAAAAGCTGAGCTGCAGGCAGGATTTGGCGACAGGACATTGAACTTAGGCGCAAAGTAGGTCGCCAGCTGGAAGCCAGCTGTACAGCAGCTAAACGTTCCAGCTCCAGTTCCAGTTCCAGCTGCAGTTCCAGCTGCAGTTCCAGCTGCAGTTCCAAGCAAAAGCTGCTGTCAGCTGCAACAGCGACAATTGCAGGCATTGCAAAATTACAGGAAATGTTAAGAAAATAAAAGCTGATTATGTCAACATGGAAAAAACAAACCTGGTTAAGGGCGCGCTGCAAGGGTGAGGAATGGGGGGGGGGGGGGGGGGGGGGGGGGGGCGTTTGTCAAATGCAAATTGCTGGCGAACCGGAAAGCGGACCCACAACTGTTAACCAACTGACGAGTCAGGCCATATGCGGACAACGGACAGCGGACATGGCACATATGGCCAGCCTTTAAGTGGCACACAAATGCGGTCGTTTTAATGTCGCCGCCGCATGCAACAACAACAACAACAACAACAACAACAACAACAGCAACAATAATAACAACAACACATGAAAACAAGCCGTACACTCGGTTATAATGGATCCATAAAAGCGCTGGGGACAGCAAATTTTGGATGCGGCTACTCATATATATCATATGCAGCTCAGGTTTAATCCAAAGTGCCGCAAATCAATAAAAAAAAAATAAAAAAAAAAAGAAAACCCATCAGCACGCCGAAGAGTGAATACCCTTGGCAGACATATAGCTGGCAGGACTTGTAAATCTGACTTGGGTGTAGATATTTTTAATATAATAACCGAATCTTTATCCGATATGGGGCAGATTTTAAGCAGATTTTGTGAGAGAGAGAGAGAGAGAGAGACAGAAGCATTTTGGCATCAATAAAAGTCTAGTTTTGTACAAATAGCTTGATAATCGAAAAGGCTTTTCATATATTTAGCTAAATAATATAGTGAACCGATTCGAGCAGTTACTGAGATGCGAGTTTGCGTAGAACAGAACAGAAGAACAGCCTGACATGGCTATATAACAGTTTGTCAAAGTCTCCTGCTGTGCTTTGCACATGTTATAACAGTAAGAACATTACATTTGCATATAACAGTTCGTCGAAGTCTCCTGCTGTGCGTTACACATTTTATAACAGTATTATAAAACTACACCATCACCTTCCCCCCCCCCCCCCTCCCACCACCCTTCAGCTATGAACATTGCATTTGTATGTAACCAATAAAAAAAACACTCGATTAGTCTGCCAAGAAATGCATTTCCCAAGATGTTTCCTGTGCCATTCGCTCAGTGTTGTCGTAATTGCTGTTGTTTTTGTTGTTGCGACGAAAAAAAAATGCCGCAAAAGTTTGCCGGTTTGCAAATGTTGCAGTTGGCGTTGCCGTAGTAGTTGTTGGTGTTTTCGTAAAGTTGCCAAAGCGTTAAACATGTTCCAGCAGAGAATTAACAACAACAACAAAAACAACAGCGACAGAAGAAGAACATGTAAAACTACAGCAGCGCTGCGAGGCAAAAGAAGAAGAAGCTTTCTACGCAGCAAATACTCGACTTGAAAGACCTTCGTCAAATGTCACACACGTAGATGGGGCTGCTGCACACACACAGGCACGCACACGCAGACACAAACACACCTACATAACGCTCGACCTTCGTTAAAAATGAGAGCGTGCGCGAGCGAGAGAAAGAGAGAATATTTGTAGTAATGTGCAACGTAAATATTGACAAAGTGCTGCTTGAAGCGACAGACTCGTATTTGACGCGCAGGTAAACAAGAACAAAAACAAAGGAACAAAAGCGTTGACAAATACAGTTATATAGATGACGGCAGCATCAACCAGCAACGAGCAGCCAGCAACCAGCGGTGCATTTCGATGCATCAGCGACGACAGTGCGTAACGACATGAGCGAGACAGCCGAAGACGCTAAGCAAAGCAATTAAAGCAGTGCATCATCATGCACATAGCGAATGGCAGAGCGAGCGCGAGGGTAAAGGGTGTTAAGTGCTCGCTCTCAACGTCAATGTTAACCTGGCGTGGGAAGCTGATAAAAGCAGGCGGACAAAAAGAGAGCGGAAGAGAGAGCGAGAGCGTGCCAGGCACACATTCGGATGTTGCCATACGGTACGAAACAAACAACAAAAAAAACAAACTTGAGTGTGAGTGTGAACGTGAGTATGAGTGCGAATTTTTAGCCGCACTTTCATGAATAGCCCAACTCAAGTGCACATGAAATTTGTTTTTTTTTTTTTTTGAAAGTGCTTAAGCAAACATACAGATTTGCGTTTATCATTAGACTCATAATTCAACCTCGTTGCACATTATTCATCAATTGCAGTCATGAATATGCTATGTAGATTTATGAATACAATTTGAATATGTGCATATGCATTAATTGTTTATGACACACGCACAGCCGCGCAGAGAGCGGCAGAGAGAGGCAGAGAGAGGTTCGTTAAGCTGCGAGCGATTATCAAATTTATTGGCTGATGTCAGCGCGAACAACAACAGCACACACACACATACGTATATACATTTTGCTTAATTTGCGCACAGTGGCAACGCTCTCACTCTCCTTCTGTCGCTCTCTTTCCCACCCGCACACCCAAGCTCCTTGCACTTCCTGCTCTCCAAAGCAAAGTTAAACTCTCGACTTTCCAGGCAAATGCACTTTCAAGTGCTTTTATCAGCGGTCAACGCCGCTGCTGCTGCTGCTGCTGCTGCTGCCGCCGCGGGCGCCGCTGCTCATTGTTGCCATGATTTATAATCTACGCAATGGAAAACGCAGCCAATTCCAGCTTTTGAATTGCTTTGCTTGACAGCGCTGATTGCGACTTCCCGCCTACCGCCCATTGCGTACAGAGAGACAATTGGGCCACAGTTTATCATTGACGGGGGAGGGGGCTGCTGTTAAGGGTGAGCTTCCGCGAGACGCTGAGACGCCTGGTCAAGGGTTGCCTTTCAATTGGCATGCAGCATACTTCAGATGCAGCAATTGTCTCAGCGGCAGCCGTCATCTTTTATCGATCCAACAATGTGCCTACTCCCCCCCCCCCCCCCCCCCCCCCCCCTCCATCCATCGCTTCCACCCGCCTGGCAGCGACAGGATTACGTCGTTATATGGCGCCAGGGTTGGTTCGGTCTGCCGGGCGGGGAGGGGGGCTGGTGTTTGAGTCTCAGGGTGGCTTAGCTGGCGCATGCGCTGTAAAAAGCATCGCGCAATGCATTTTATGTAACTTTGAAAACAAAACAAAAAAAAAACTGGTTCACAATTGAACCGTTCCAGAGATTGAACCGTTCAAGCTTTCAAAGCCAAGCATCGAGCCGCAGGCAGAGCTCACAGTTACAAAAAAAGGCTAAAATGAACCAAGTGGAAGCCAGAGAATCGGAGTTAAACTTAAAGCTCGGAAAGCAGAGCTTAAAAAGTAAAATAGTTGTTAGATCAAGTGGAAAATCGATTGCCTTTGGTATAAAAGTCATAAGCTCGACAAAATCTATTCCAGAAGCTTAAAATAAGTTCCAGGCGCTTAAAAAGCTCAACTAAAAGCTCGATAAACACTCAGAGCTGAGCTCAAAGCTTCTTAAAGCTTCTCTTCCAGTCGAAAAAGGAGCTTAAAGCGCAGTTAAAACCGCTGGAAAGCCGCAATTGAGCGCAAAGCTTCGAAGTGCTCTCTTGAGCCAAGTCTCAGCTTGGAATGGCTTGAACTAAGGTTATGTATAGATTCGCATACTCACTGGCATTCATTCATGATCTCCTCCTGGCTGCGCACCTGAACCGGTGCCAGCTCCTCGACGTTCTCCTCGTAGTTGCCGAAGCATTTGGTTATTTTCTCATCGAACGTATTCACCAAATCCTCGAGACTGCCGCCAAAAGTCTCTGTAAAGTTGTCCACATTGTCAGCGCCGCGCTTATCCTGGCCACCGGCCGGACCGGACATATCGGCCAGTCCCAATTCCCCAAGATTGTGCGTATTGCAATTGGGGCTTATGTTGCCGGCGGCACCGGCACCGGCGCCTCCTCCTCCTCCTCCGCCGCCGCCGCCATTTTTGCTAATGTGCGCATCGCGGACCGCATCCTCGAGCAGACGCAGCTTGTCCTGCTGCTGTTGCTTGGCGTTGCCATCCTTTTGATTCCGATTGGAGCTCAAGTTCAGATTTAGCGTATCGTTGAGCGCATTCTGATTGGAAATAAAATCGCAGCCACCCCACTCGTCCGTCTCCTCGAACTTCGCCAGTGGAGCCTCAAATTTAAGCTCGGCCATTTTGGTGCCGAGGTCACGCATGGCACGCGGCACACGCAGTTGAGGGGCGGGCGCAGGGGCTGGGCGGTGGGCGTTCTGGACAGCGGGCTCAGATAAAGATGTTGCGAGCGATTTAAATAAAAACGCAGGCTCTGTCCGACTGCGGTTTGTTTTTGTTATGCGCTATTTCTGAGACACACTCACACACACACACACACACACAGGCGCACCTGTGTTGGAAAAATTCGCAACCCCTATTTAAACGCAAACGCACTTGTGTCACCCACCGTGCTGTTCGGTTGAGTATTTATATATTTTGATAGCAAATCGTTTAATTTGTTGCTGTCTGGTCACAATAAACAAAAACCACTGTTAAAAAAAAGTGAAACTGTCGTGCGTTGAACACTGTTTCTATTAGCTTGATACAATTTAATAACGAACGTTGAATGCCGTTATTGTTGTTGTTGTGCACGCAAACGCGAACGCAAATAAAATAAACACAGCAGAGTCGACGAAACGCGCAACACGACGGTAGCGACGAGACCAAAACACAACGAAGGTTTCTTGCGACTGCACAGCACCAGTGTGACCGTATGCGTTAAACAGCAAAATGCGCACATTTATCGAGAAACGCTGAATACTGCACACTGTTTTGACAAATTAAAAATAGCATGCACAAATATATCATTTAATAACATTTGTTTAATAACAATGCATTATTGGAAACTAAATAAGCATTTTCAACAAAAGCTATTGTCATCGATAGCGCAACCAACTATCGATGGCGATTTAAACACTTTGCAACACTAGTACGCTGAGCGGGCTTATTTAAATACTGTTCAAGTAATATTGCTAATTGGAATAATTCCCAATACCGATTCGCAAATTCCCGAGAACAAAATTTGTTTATACTCAATTTTATTACAATATAAATTAATATTTATATTAAATAATACATTTATTAGATTCAGAGTCCTAACATTTTGTTTTCTTCTTCTTTTTTTTGTCATTTTATTTTTGTTTATACTGCGTAATATCGAAGCACTCTGCCCAGCGGCAATAATTGTTTTTGTTTTAAACATTGTTTGACTTTTCAATTAGCATTTGGGTCAAAAAAATAGGGTTAGTTTTTAATTTCAATATATATTTATATATATATATATAGTAAGTAGGCCTTGTCTAGCCCATTTTCTGTGGGTTATATTTTAGTGCTCTCGAGAAATGCATTTAATAACAAAACTTTAAAACATTTGGGAATTTTGGTTAATTATCTTAAGAGAAGCACAGGCATACGCATGTGTGCGTGTGTGTAGATATGCAAATGCATGTGCACGCACACACACACACACACACACACACACACGTGTGCATTAAGGCTAAGCTACAACATTTTCTTTTTATTTTTATAATTTTCTTAAAAGCAGGCTTTTTTTTCCGGCTGTGTGTGTGTGTGTGTGTGTTCAGTGTCTTTTATGTCTTTGTTAGATAAGCATTAAATACAAAATAAATATTAGTAAATAATTTAAACGCTAACAAGAAAATGCCAAAAAAAACATTATCTCCAATCTCAACTGCACTTAAAATTGTTTTTCCTTTTGTTTAAGGCTTGCTTAAAAAGAATTATAGATACAAAACGAGAAAAGCTCGACTGGAAATTCTTCGTGAATCAACAAAAAAAAAAAAAAAAGTATTAATTATAATAATAGTCAGTTAATAGAAAGTATTGTTGTTTATGTTTAATGAGTAAGAAATATATATATAGCAATACGTAAATTGGTTTTGGTGCGGGTATTATTTTTAATAAATTAATACAAATTAAATACAGTTTTTGTGGCCCGTTTTTGTTTTTGTTTTTGTTTTTTTTAAATAAATACAGTGTGTAATTATCAAATAGTTGTAAATTGTAATCAGACAGCAAGAAATTGAATGGAATCTCATATGTTTAAAATATGTTTAGTATTATTATTATGTATATATTATTATATGTATAAAAATAAATGTCTTTTTCTTTTGACACAAACAAAATAGCTAAATTGCTGCTTTTTGTTGTTCTTGTTTTTGTTTTTTTTTTTTTTTAACGCCAATATTATATTAACTGTGCATATATTTAGATGTATGCAACATTTTTTGTTGTTTTGTAATTGTTTTTTTTTTTTTCAAATTGTTTCTATTGCTACATTTATTTATTGTTGCTTTCAATTTCTATGCGCGTGTGTGTGTATGAGACAGAGAGAGAGAGAGAGAGAGAGAGAGAGAGAGAGAGAGAGAGAGAGAGAGAGAGAGTGCACGAGTTACAGTTAAATGGATTTGCGTGCGCGACGCTCAGTGTTGCGAAATGCGTGAAGTCTTTTTCGGTTGTTTTTTCTTTTTTTTTGTTTTTATTTTAAATAATGGGAACAATGAAAAATTCGATATTACTGGGAACACTTTAAAATTTCTTCGTTCTTCTGTTTTATTGTTGTGTGCAGTTGGAAAAATGTCCCAAAATGAAAATGTAAAAATTTTCTAAAAAAAAAAAAAAAGCAGCAAACCAGTTGTGAGAGCTTTGACAGTGTGTGGGTGTATGTGTGTGTGTGTGTGTGTTTGGTTTATCTAAAAATCAACTACATATGCCAGCCAGCGTATTTATGACAAAAGATTTTGGATATATATGAATATTCAGTTGAAAGGAAACGGAACAAGCTCAAAACAAAAAAATTAATAATAATAATGCAAAAATACCAAATAGCTGGCATAGTGGTTGGGGGTTGTTGTTGTTGTTGTTGTTGCTGATACTGTTGTTGTTGTTGTTGGGGATTGTTGTTGTTGTTTAACGCTTATTTGTTGGCTTAAAGTTGCAGGACAACATCTCCTCCTTGGCCAATTTGGTGCGATATTCGGCCATCATATCACGGCATTGTATGGCAATATCTAAGAGCGTGGAGAACATTGTCTCGCCGCGCTTACAATACGCATCCTGATCATAATCCACATAATTGGTTAAATCATATAGGGCCTTCGAGTCGGCTAGGAAATTCTCCAGTGTTGCGTTCACGCTGCGATGAAATTCAACGACCATTTCCTCGGTCTGTTGCAGATCATCGATAGCCTGATGTTGTACAATTAGCTCGTCCGACATTTCGTGTTCCTGCAAGATCGATATATAATCGATGAATAGTATATATATGGCTCTGTGTGTGCGTGTGTGCGTGTATGTGTGTGTGTGTGTGAATATGATTTAAATGAATGCCACGCTTTTTGGTCGTTATCGAAACTTTTATTTGAAACATTCGCTGCATATATATACATATACATATATATATATATATATATATATATATTATATATATATGGTGGTATACATATAGATATATATACACACAAACTAAATAATCGTTAGAATTTTGTAGCTCCACTTGTCAAATTGATAATTTTTCATGTTTAGCATTATAATTAAGATTTGGGTCATATTGGGTGTGTTGTTGCTTGCGCCTGGTTCTCTCCAGAATTTTGAATGAATGCGCGCTTCCAAAAACCATTAAAAAAAATATGTATATATATAGATATATATATATATATATCTAGGGGGGGTTGGCATATATACACATACATATATATATACTTATATATATATGGGGGAGTATATTAACGTCGTGCTGCTGCTGGACTGCCAGGATTGCAGACTTGAAGCTGAACTTTCGGTTTAGACTTGTTACGTATCTAGCGATAGAAAGGGCAGTTAACGATTTCGGTCACGTTTACGCAATCTATATATATATCTATATATATATATATATATATGAATGTACGCTGTGTATGTGTGTGTGTGAGTGAGTGTGTGTGTGTGCAAAGCAATATGAAGACAAGCAAAAGCTGTTATATGGCAAAAGCTAGGGTATATCAAGCAGAGCCTAGCCAGCATAGGGTATTCTTCAAGCGCCAAGTTCTCTAACTCTAGCTCTGCTGCAGGCTGAGATTCGCACGGACAGACGGCTATGTGTCGCATATACAGGGTATACAGGGTATTTACAAGCGGACTGACGCTAACTGCACCATATTCAGATGTGTATAGCTAATATTCGATTCGAAAGGGAGACCTACACGCACGCACGCACGCACACATACACCCACACCGTGGGGGGGAGGAGGAGGAGGAGGAATAGTGCTACGGCGTTGGGCTCTTCACGGGCAAGCGTCCGGCATATTCGCGCACCAATAGCTTGCGCTCCCAGGTCGGAAAATTGCACAGCGTGACCGTATCGTTGCGATGCATACGATATTTCCATACATTATCGTCGGCATTGTCGTCGGCGAATTGGGGCGGCGGCGGCGGCGGCAACAGCTCATCCAGCGGCAGCCATTGCGGCAACAAGGGCCGTGTGGCAGCCACCAATGCGCTCATTTCGGCCTTCTGGCGCGCCTCCTCGATCCTGTTGCACTGCAGCTTGTGCTTGTAACGCTGGCCGGCGGTATGCAGGCGCTGAAAATCGCGCGGCGAGACCTGGTCCTGCAACGGCACAAAGAAACGCTTCTGTGTATTGTAGACTCGGCGCGGCTGGGTGAGCACCTGAACTGGGCCAATGATGCAATGTTGCAGATCGATGTCCGCCGTTGGCTTTTTCTGCGCCTGCTGCTGCTGCTGCTGCTGCTGCTGCTGCTGCCGCTTGCCCGCCAGCTGCTTGTCGTAGACCGCATAGCTGCGACTCTTGATCCGGCTGACCTTCGGCTTGCCTTCAGTGTTGGCCTTGGGAACGGTTGCAGCAGCTGCGGCAACCTTCGGCGGCTGCACCTGGGCATATCTGCGGCCATAGATCAGAGCCGTTTGCCTGGTCACGCCCGTGTTGCCGCGCCGTGGCGGCCTAGCTGCTCCTGCTCCTGCTGCTCCCGCTGCTCCCGCTGCTGTCGTTGTCGCCGCCGTTCGTGCCGCTGCGCTTCTGCGTTGCTGGGCGGCCGCTGCTGCTCTTGCTGCCTCGACAGCCAGACGCTGGCTCGCCGCCTGCGCTGCCTTGACCGCATTCGTCTTGGATGCACAGTGTCCGGTTAGGGGCGTTGTGCGTTGGCCGCTGGCAATGCGCTTGTTGCTGCCCTTTTGGGCAACGTTTCCCAAACCCAATCCGCTGGCCATCTTGCTTCTTGCCGCGCGCTGCATTTTGTTAGCTCAAAGCTTTTGGTTTGTTTGCTTTTTATAAATGAATCTTTCTATACACACACACACTGAATAAAATAAACTTAACTCAACTGAACAGAAAGTAACTGAAACGCTTGCTCAAATGCCCACTGGAAAATAACCTAGTTGCCGTTTTGAAATATGCGTCGAGGGTAACTACGTTTTCTGTTTTTTTTTTTTTTGTTTGTCAGCCCTTGCAGAGTTTACAATTGGAATAGAGTTTTGTTGCTGGAAATTTACATGTGAGCCACAATTCATTAGAACTCTCTTAGAAGACGCCCGAGCAGGGACAAAGTGTACTATGAGAGAGAAGATGTTAGGCAAGCATCAGAATATTTATACAAAATTAGATGAAACACATTATTCCATGCCAGAGCAAGTATATCTAATGGAAAGCAATATAGGCTAGGATTTCATATGCCGCCCCGAAGCAGGCACAAAGTTTTCCATGAGTGAGAAAATGTGAAATGAGCTTTTATACGAAAGTATCTTTACGATTCAGCACGATTCCATGCCAGAGGCAAATATATCTAATGGAAAACTATATGGACTAAGCAGGCTAGCCAGGACCAAGTATTCCAAATGGAAAGGCGCAACAAACAAGTGTATGAGTAATTTCTGCAAGGGCTGAAGCACAATCGGTTAGCCGAAAAGCGGTTTTAATGAATATCATCAGTAAAGATATTGAATATTAGTTAATATACTTACGCTCAGCGAACTAAGCATGGCCAAGTCCATGTTGGCTGCATTGCCGTTCTTGCTATTGTTGTTGTTATTGTTGTGGCCGCGCTGCAGCGACTGATGATGATGATGATGATGATGATGATGGGCCGAATGATGTGGCAGGCCGACAACGCCGTGCTCTGTCAATTGTTGCTCCTCCTCCTCCTCGTCGTCCATGATCTCGATGGGCTCACCATCACCGTGTCCAATTTCGGCAATATCCTTGACAACGAGCTCCTTAACGCGATCCGCATAGCGTAGCGTATTTAACGTATGCTCGCAACTGCTCAAACCGGGCGATATCATGGCAATCATGCATGTCTTGCTCTTCTCCCCAATGAACGAGTCGCGCAGCACTTGCGTCAGCTTTGAGACACGAAATGGTAAATGTGACGACTGTTTGCCCAACGCACGAATGCACTCCTTGAGTGCGAGCAGAGATTTATTAATTTCGGCGCCCTCCATTCGGGTCTGACGATCCGCCGATGATGTGTCCACGCCACGCTCATTGCCCGCCAGGTCAATGAATGAGAATTTGCCGTGTATTTTGCTGCTGCCCATCGGACGCAAAACAATTTGGAATACGGCATGTGAACGCGACGAATTTGAATTGGCCGACGTTTGGCCAGATGTACGCGCCGCATTGCCGTGTTGTATAAGCTTTAGTACCTCCTCGACGCTATCGACCACCTTTTCGGTTAGTCCGACGATCTGTACCTGTTGCTTTCCGTCCTCCAAAACGCGCAGCTTTTGCTTGTCAGCCAGCAAATCAAAGACCTGTGCACGAAACGAAAACGTAAACAGTTTGTAATTTTTCTTCTGAGAAAACAGGGTATCTTTGTAGTTAGGCCCAGAGACTCACCTTGCCGCTGTATATTTCAAAGAAACTAGCCGAAACGACCAAGTTCAGCGAGCGATAACGGGGTCCATTGAGCGTGACAAAGACATCCTTGGCGGCCATGGCGTATATGCCATTTTTGCAATCCTGCACCTTGCCATTGAATTCACCTCCCATCGTGTGTGTTTTACCCGATCCTGTTTGTCCATATGCAAAGCACGTTGCCATTCCCCCCTCAAAAATAGTTTTTACCAGCGGCTTTGCTGTGTATCTGTGTGGATGGCAAGAATGGCACAAAAATTAACAATCAAATTTCGATTCCCTACTGAAAGCTTGTGGGCTTTCAATCAAACGAAGCTTTGCTTAATGAGCTTTGAAAGCTTTCAGCTACTTGCAAAAGCTGCATGGACAATATGCACTTACGAAAGCTTTCCGAAGCTTTTTGAACTGAATGCAATTTGGCACGCTTTCAAAAGCTTTGCGGCACTTTCGAAAGCACATTTTTGTTTGACTTTGCACTTAAGCAATAAATTGTATGGAAAATGAAAAAGTTTGCTCATAAACTCAGGCATATTATAAGGACTAGGATAGTTCCGTACTCATCAGTGCGTCAAATGCGTTTTCATATCCTTGTAGAGGGTATTATTACAATTTTGTCATGAAAGGAAAGGAATATATATTCTAGATCTGCATTAACATCCATCCGCCCTACGTCTATCCTGCTCTCCGTCTTTGTAAAATAAAGCTCTTCATTTTAGGTCTAACAGCGTAACTTTTACCGACAGCTGTAAAGCATTCTTTACGGGTTTGGAATATGTCATAGAAAAGATTATCTTATTGACAGGAGTCAAGTCTTTCATAGATCCATCTTTCCACCATATCATGGCAGAATATTCTGTTTTTCGCGCTTCAGTAATCTCACATATCTGGTAAACCCTTACGAAAAGGTATGTAAGGGTAAAAAGTCCACTCTTTGGGGACTTTTGAATACTTTCAAATCCAACTAGCTTTATACGAACTAAATATTTTTTTATTTACTTGATTAGGTTTATGAAAGAACCAGCATTTGCTGCTATTCAATATCAATATCATAATAAAGCGTATATAAGAGGCTATTCATACAAATATTTTTGTGCGGCTTGTGGCTATTATTGAGAAATAAATATTCGCACACAAGCGTAGACTTTGCTTATCAAATCGGATGATTAAATTTCACCGTTATTCAGGTACGTGACGCAGCAGTTGCTAATGCCATTGACTCATGCGCAAAAGCAGGAAGGAAGCGGCATTAGAAATGTGGGCCAGAAAGGGGGAGGGCACGAAGCAAGACGCGAACAAGAACAGGCAGAAGCGCATTGAATGCGAGAGGGAGCGAGAGAGAGAGAGAGAGAGAGAAAAGGGAAGAGAGAAAGAACAAACAGATTCATTCAGTTTTGAGTCAAATGCTGCGACGGTTACATTTTGAAATGTGAAAATTGAAACTAATAAGAGAGCATCGACTGCGCCATACTCTGTTCAATGCAAGAAGTTTTTGATAGCAGCAGTTATAGAGATGGGCGTGGTCGCTATGTTATTGGCAATATGTATTTGTAGAGCAGATCGAGAGTTCTCTCCTCTAGCGTTGACAAATGCTGTAAGCTGATGTTAAACAAAAGGAAACAGCCAATATATACCCTTTAATTCCAGTACGGAGTATACATATATATTGTATATGCATATATTTAAGTTCTGCTTTAGATCTTTGATGAGAAATCAAAGCTTAGACGCGGGCCAAGTTCATTGAGGCGAACGCCAAACGAAACGTAACACAAAACAAAACGAAACGAAACGAACGAGCAGACAAACAGATGGAATAACTTTCTGCGTTTAGTCATACGGCAACAACAACAAGACGAAGCAGAAGAAGAAGAAGAACGGAACAACTTGGCTATTTCGGGAGCGAACGCTTTGAGTTTGCGCGCCTCTAAGCATGTATGTGTGTGTGTGTTCGCTTGCACGCCTGTGCCTGTGTATGTATGTGTGTTCGCTTGCACGCCTGTGCAAGTGTGTGTGTTCGCTTGCACGCCTGTGCATGTGTGTGTATGTGTTCGCTTGCACGCCTGTGCCTGTGCCTGTGTATGTATGTGTGTGTGTGTGAGTCAGTTGCTATTGAGCTGAACTTGTGCGCATTTCGTGTGTCGCCAACGCAACAAAAACACAAGAAAAAGAAGAAGAAGAACAACAACAACAAGGCGCGCGCACAGCTGTTCAAATCGATCGCTGGCTGCCAGACAAGGACAGCCTCAGTGGAGACATCGCATATGTATGCTGGCCCAAAGCAGAAGCCGCCGCAGATCGGCGCTCTATATAGCATAGTGCTCTATATAGGCTGATTACAAAATGAATTCTCTTTAATTTAAAAACGAGTTATTTTTAAGTTTAAAATATGCCTGCATAGAATTGTGTTCCAATGAAATCTTGCCATCGTCTAATAGTTCCACCCTGAGCTTTATATGTGATACGATCCGGGGACTTGGACAAGTTCAGCCGGGCTCTGCGTGCGGCTTAGCTAGAGCTTGACTGTTGCTACAGATCAAGAATATATATATATATATATATGCACATCTGTTAAAGAACCTTTTAGGATGGCTGAACACCTGCCTTAGTTAAGTCTATATGTATCTATTCTATTGCCCCTTTATTCTTATTTACCGTACCCTCTACAACGGTTCTTTAAAGGTTCTTTAACAGATTCTCCAAAACAGTTTTCGAATAGAGTTCTCAAGAGAAAAATCGTATCTTGACATTGACGTAAACATATACCAAAGATGCATTTAAAAAATACCAAAAAAAAGGTCCTTCACAACACTAGAAATCTCGCTAGTACTCCGCATAAGGTAAGCAAGTCCTTAAGACGTTATTTTGAGGCAAGTTCTCGACACTACAGGAGCCCAAAGATCCTAGCTGAATCTCACATACAGACAGATGGGCGCGGGCGACTATATTGGGAATGGTGGTATTGGGATTATGTTTATATGTATATGTCTAGCATATATAGGATACGTAATATATAGATGGGCAGATACTCACTTGTATACCATGGCATTGTCGCATGAATCGTTGAATGCATAGTCGAAGCGAAATTTGTGATTTTCAAGGAATTTGGTTAGATCGACCTTGTTGCGCGGTTCGTGGACCATGAGCATATCCTTGCGCGGCACGGATATGACATCGATCTCCTTGCGATTCAATTCCTTGCGACTAAGCGGACGCTTGCGCACACAAACGGTTATCCGATGATCATCGACCACTTGCCCATCGAGCAGCGGCACAAATTCGAGGGTATTCTGATATTCGCGTATCATTTGCGCTGTCTCCCAATTGGGATTGCCTGGATCCTGGTTCATCAATGCGACCTTCTCCTCCTTGATTTCAGCCTGGCGCGCACGACGCTTCTCGCGATTCTCCTTGAGGCGTTCCACCTCCTTCAGGGCATGCGAACGACGTGCGCCGGCAGCATTGGCAGCTGTTGTTGTTGTTGAATTATTTGAATTGTTTGTTGCGGCTGCCGCTGCTGCTGCTGCTCCTGTTGCTCCTGTTGCTGTCGAATTGGCAGCGCCACGCTCGTTGTTAATATTGTTGCTGTTGCTGGGCACCGCCGAGGCGATGCGCGACTGTGCATTGCTGTTGACCTGGCCATGTGCATACCGGGGCCGCATCATGCCGCTGGCTGTGGCGCCAACGCCAGTTGACTGGATGCTGCTGCTATTGGCGGTTGTCATATTGCCAACACTCTGGCTATTGCCCAACTGTGGCGGCAAATCGCGACTGTTCGTCTCGCTGATCTTGTTCAGCTGTGTGCCGGTCATGGTCATTCGTGCGGTTGAGCTACCACCGCCGCCGCCGCCGCCTCCTCCGCCGCTGCTGCTGCCAGCGCCACCGCCAATGGCAGACTGTGTGGGATTGCGCGATAGATTGATGGGCGCCGTTGCCTGTTTCTTCGGTTCGGGTGCTGTGTGCTGCATTTCGTTGGCATCGGACATTGCCAGCTCCGGATTGAGCGAGAGTATGGCCTCCAGTTCGACCTCCTTGCCTTTGGTCTCGCCGCGCTCATACCATTCAACGGTGATGCAGCGTGCCGATGGATTCAATTTGGATACAACAGCGCCATGGATGCGTCCATCGGTGCGTTTGATTTTAACGCTCTGTCCAATGTTTATTATATCCATTATTGTTGTATTCAATACTTGCCCAGGCTTTGCACAAGTCCTTGCTTGGATTTGGATGGTGTGCGCGATGATGTTGTTGTTCTGGTTGTTGTTGTTGTTGTTGTTGATGCTGGTGAACCAGTTCCAGTTCCAGTACCAGACCCAGATCCTGATCCCGTATTATGCCGTTTGCCGTTTGGTATGTATGCCTGGTGTCTATATATGTATATATATATATATATATATATATATTTATCTATATAATATTTATGTATGTGTGATTTATATATTCATATATCAATTTATATGCATATATGTATAATTGCTATGCCATAATTCCGTTACCGCTTTCGTTCACAAACTAGATCATACGAAATATAATATAAATGAATTAATATAAATTTCCTATTTTTTCTTTTTTTTTGGTTCCCCGTCGTCTGTCTACGCTCGTACAATAAGTCTGTAAATGAGCCAAATCGTCAAGTTGGCTGCCTGTAGTTCGACTGACAGTGCAGTCAGCGCTTACTCACATCAAACAATTTTGCTGGCTGCTTCTTTTTTTGTTGTTTTTGGTATCCAACAACAATAACAACAATAAACGAAAAATCAAATAACAACGTTCGAAATGCTAGAGCGAGACAGCGATACATTAAAATGGCTGCGTTCACCAACTGCTGTTTACCGCCTGCTGCCGCTGCTGCTGCTGCTGCCGCTGCTACGGAATGACGACGACTGCTTTGGTTTTGGCTTCTTCTATGTCGAGGTCGCAAAAAAAAAAAAACGGCGTCGTTCAGCGCGCCTCTGTGTCTGTGTGTGCGTGTGTTTTCACACAAAATTCAAATGCTCAACTGTCACTTTCCTATCGATAACAACAACAAAAATCAAACATATGTACATACATATGTTGTTGAGCGACGCGCCGCTAGGCTTTGACCAATTGTGATTTGTGCGCCGTTTTTATTTTTGCATGCATTTCAAGCGGCATTGTGCAACACTGTTCGCGTATGCGGCACATAGCGACAGTGACACAAACTCACACGCATCACATACATATGCATGTAACATGCACAGCCACACACACACACACATGCATATTGCATGTGCATATATGCATACATATAAGGCGCGTGTAAAAGTACCAAAAACACTCAAAACAGCCGCTAATCAATGCCAGCAGCTTTACGTTAATTATACACACACATGCTAGTGCATACGTATGCCACAGCAGTAATAGCAGCAGCACCTTTACGTCATGCAGTAGCTGACGGCTGCGGCTCCCACATATAAAACACTCGCACTCACACACATGCAAACGCAGCCCAAGACATTGGCTTTGCAGGCAGGCCTTCAGGGCTTATATGCACATGCACACACATGCACACATACACACAGCAGACGCATTTCTTTTATACGCGGAAATGTAATTGGAAATTTGCAAACTTCTATGGTGCTGAAGCCGCGGCGGCAGCGGCTAACGTTGCAGGCAACACAACGTGTAATTTACGCTCACCTCGACACACTCGCTTATTTGAACACACGCGCTGTTTCTTCTTCAAACTATTTAATAGCACAATCCATAAAATTACTAAAAGGATTTTTTTTTATATTTTTGGAATTAATCACAACTAGATATCACAAGAGTGTGTTCGAAATAAAGTTATAAAGTGACCAGATGTCAACAACAGATTTTTAGTTCAGAGTTTGCTTCGCCATTGTTTTTTTTTTTTTTTTTTTTTCTTAGTGCCAGCCAGTCATCATGTGTATTTTACAGCACTGGTGGGCCGACAGACACTGCTGTCCGTTAGAATTAAATATATATAAAATGTATGCAGCTCAAAAGTTGTTATTATTTGTAAGAAATTTATTCACGCACTCTAAGCATTTATTTCAATTATAAACTATATTTATTCAGATGCAAGTCAATGCAATCAACTTAAAGCGCAACAGCTGCTTATAATCGCAATCTAGTATGTTTTGGTATTTTTAGTTTAGTGACAAGTGCATTCACGAGTAAATATCGATACACCGATATCACAAACACTAACCCTGTGTACGTGTTTGTTTGTGGTGGTTGCAATAAATTTGTTTGTGCGTAGAAAGTGTAAATTATTACAACGAAAAACGTAAAAATTCTGCACGATATAAAACACTTGCAGCTTGCCAACTGAATACGGTGAGTAACTGCCGCACTTCGGTAAATGTCATTCAAAAACCCAATTGATTAATGTACACTGACATTTCTGATTTGCAGCAGCAGAATGGACATCATGGACATACAGGCTGTCGAATCGAAGTTAAGTGACGTCACAGTGACACCAATACCACGCTCGCAAGTACAAAACTTTTACAACTATCAGCAGCAGCGCGAACAGCGCGAACAACAGCCCCAAATCCAAATATCTGCTATACATCATTCACGCAGCGGCGCCAGCGGCGGCGCCAGCAGCGCTGCCAGCAACAATAACATGACCGCCACAGATTATGCGACCAGCAGCAGCAGCGGCGGCGGCGTCGGCAGCGGCAGCAAACGTGACCGCAACAATGCACAAAGCAGCGCCGCAGCGACAGCAGCAGCAGCAGCTGCCGTTGCTGCACTGCAATATTCGCCACAATTTCTGCAGGCACAGCTGGCGCTGCTGCAGAAACAATCGAACACAACTGCCACACCGTCAGCCTCATCGGCCGCAGCAGCGGCCGCGGCAGCACTATCGCTGGCCAACATTGCAGCCGCCAGCAATGGGCGCAATCTCTCGAACTCGGCCAACAGCGGCAACAGCAACATCAATAGCAATAGCAACAACAATACCAATGCCGTCAGCAGCAGCAGCAGCAGCAGCAGCACAATTAATCTGGGCTTGAATCTCACACAATCACAGCTGAAATATCCGCCGCCATCGACCTCGCCGGTGGTTGTTACCACACAAACATCGGCGAATATAACAACGCCGCTAACATCCACTGCCAATCTGCCGACGGCGGGCAGCATGGTCGGTGGCAATGGGCTGAGCAAGTATGCCCAGCTGCTGGCGGTTATTGAGGAAATGGGCCGTGATATAAGACCCACATATACGGGCTCGCGCAGCTCCACGGAACGCTTGAAGCGTGGCATTGTCCATGCACGGATACTGGTGCGCGAGTGCCTCATGGAAACGGAGCGTGCGGCGCGTCAATGAGAGGAGGAGGAGTGCGGCAGCGTGCCGCCATTGATGTCACCGGATTAAGTTCTGCACCAGAAAATACACTACACTCTACATAAACACAAGCACTTCACATTGGGCATGGTGAAAAATAATCTAGCATTTAAGTGTGACCAGACTAGTGGCAAAATGAAAGCCAATTATTCAAAGCAATTTCTTGACGGTTTTTTATATAAGCCCCCCCCCCCTTCCCCACCCCCTACAAACAACACAATTTCAAGAACTAGACAAAAACTTTTATATATTGATGATTCTTGAAATCTGTTCCTATATACTTTATGCCACATTTTCCATGCAATCGAATACGGTCTGCCTGGATCGAATGTCGTACTCCAATACTGTATATTATATATACATGCTTGTACATTGATCTGATTTCGATCACTTTCTTGGTATATTGTAGGATTCTGAAGGCATGAGAAAATGTGCATAAAACTCATATGTATATCATTGGCATACCACAGATGCTATAGCTTTCACTATGCCTGTAAAAGTAACGAGTAGAAGTAACGAGTGTTGGGCTAAATTAGTTACTTAAGGCACTCGTTAGATTTAACAAAATGTGCTTTCATTTATTATTTAAGCACCTTATTTTAATATATCATATTTCATTATTAAACAATAGCAAATTGTATGAGCTTCTGTTTCTATTTATTTTCTGTTGATTGATTATTTTGATTTTGATTTTGATTGTTTTCCTCTAATACTCTACAAAACTGGCAAATTGGTGCCGCCGGACCATAGTTAAAAAATGTTTAGACTAGCTCAGGTTATACAAGTTATATATAATATGCATATACATTATATATAATGCATACGAGTATGTATACAAATATGAAGCGAGCCAGAGACAGCTTCAGATTTTATAGAGGTAAACAATATATACATATATATATATATATATGTATGTGTATATGTTCTTATGCATAAGTCTAGGCTAAGTTGCACCTGCGTATTTTTTGTGTGTGTTCCAAACGTTGATGTTGTACAGCTTTAAGTAGGACACGGCTTCCAAACACTAACTGTGCATGCTATATATACACTATATGTCAGGGCAGATGGAACAGTTATTTTAGATAACTATACAATACATATATACAGACCTGTATATGTATATATATATATGCATTTGTTATAAACGAGGTTAGTTAAACCAAATAATTAAGCGACCTTCCTTTTAACATAACTTCCTACAGATATATATATCTATATACATATATATGCGAGCATATGGCTAAGTTCAAGCGTGTATACCGAACCAAAATTGGAATAAAGAGATATTTTGGTTTTTATAAAGCAATAAAAAACAAACAAACAAACAAACAAATAAAAAAACAAATGAATATTTGCATTTACCTTTTAATGAGCACTCGCAAAACACATGTCTTCCACAAATGCTGTTGAGCTGTTTTTCTGTTCCTTTTTTTTTTTTGGTGTTTTTTTTATTGTTTTTGGTAAAAAAAAAAAAATTATATGCAAATTGTTTGTTTTAAAATCGAAATTTTTGTTTTAGGTTTACAGCACGGTTAAAAATTTTAAATGAATGCTTTCAACATTTTTTGAATACAACTGACAGCAAAATCGAAACCCGTTACAAATTCAAAAAAAAAAATACTAAAAACGCGGGCAAAATGTATTCAAAACATGCTGCCACACTGTGATTATTTTTAAGACCAAACAAAACATCTGGCAGCACTGTGCACGACGATAACAGCAAAAATCATGACTTCATAGAATTTTTTTTTTTTTTTTTGGATTTCGAGTTAAAAGTTGATCTATAGTTTGAGATTATTGTCGCAATCGTAATATGGACAGCATTTGGGAAAGGCTTCATTGACATTCTCGACCAGTTTGCACGGCTTCAGGGTGGCCACAGAGGGGCAGCTATCAACGGTTATTATTTGAATTATGATTTTTTATTTATATGTTATATAAATATTATTTGAAATGTGCTTACGTCTTGCCCTTGACGGAACCGTTAGCCTGGCAGGTGTGCTCAATACAACGACCCGGTGGCTTATACGTCTGACCCACCTTCAAGCTCTGGCCGCCCACCTCACAATCTAATCGATCGGCCACATGAACATATATACCTCTATATTGTTTAGTCGAGCTAGAGCCCCCGACTTACCGCTCAGAACCAACAGCATATGGGCGCCCAGCACCAGAAGACAAAGCACAACTGTCACCGGCTGCATTATGATCCCCAGAGAATCTAACAAGGCGAAATTCTAGAACTGAACTGATGTGCTCGGCCTTAAGGCTCGACTAATTATATACGTTTCAGTTTTTTCCATAGATCTGTTAGTTCAAGCTGACCTTTTCACACGGCTAACTGATATTTCCCCCTGGGGTTCGCCCACTATCTCCGGGTGTATCAGCGCGATTTTGACTCGAACTGGAACTGAAACTGAAACCGAAACGAATCTCTTTTATATGGTTAGCACCTGCTGATGCCGTTTATTATTTCAGTCCAAATACCTTAATGCTCGGTATCCATATACAATTTATCTCCATTATAATGCCATTTTGTATATATTCCATTTTGTGCATATTACGTCAATATACCATATCATTTTTTGTTTTTTTCTAATCAGCAACAAGATTTCAAAAACAATAACATTTTTCTATTTTTTTTTTTCTTCATTGAGCTAAGAATACTAAGCCCTGAACTATGTCAGCTGATAATAGTTTTTATTTTTTTTTAATTTTTATTGAAAAACTTTTTTCCATCTGAACTTAAGATCAGAGAATATATATTTCGACAGTGGAATCCACATTTAGTTTGTTTTTAATTCCTTAATAATAGTAAAAAAAAAAAATTCCATTTGAATGAATTTGGAAATTTAAACCTTTCCTTTTATTATTAAAAACAAGATTCTTTTCAGGATAATCCTCTCGACATTTTAATAGAAATCGTATTAGAAAAAAAACATACCATTTTTTCCTAGTATCTTTTCAGCGAATATTCTCCTGACTTTTATTTTTAGTCTATTAAATTAAATTTTTATTATTATTTCCGTTGATGAGTTTTAGGGAAGAAATATATTTCCTCTTCTACTATTCTCCAGTTTATTATTTATCCTCCAGTTAAATATGCAAGTCCCAGGAAAACTTGTTTTGAAGGTTTTAACTACTTATTTAGTTTAGGCTTTCGACTGATCTGTTATCGAATGCAAATTTTCAAGTCGGACTCGAACTGATCAGGAATATATATATACATATATATAGTTTATGGGAACGGAGAGGACTGTAATAATCTGTATAAGTAAATGCAGCACTCATTTGAAAAGAAGTTCTTTTTATAGACAAGCTTAGGTACTATATCTATATATATATATATATGCATAGCCCGTGTCCGGAAGATTTTGTCAACAGTTTGGGGGGAATCAAGCGCCGGAACAAATACGCGTGGGACAGCAATCCGGATACGGTTTTGTATAGTCGCTGGGCGTAAAATGACAGCCATCGGCCAGTTGCATGCGATCGCAGCTAGTGTTAGACATAACGTTAGTCAGCCATATCTATATCTATATATATATATAGAGGCAGTACTCACTGCTTGATCATGAGCACATAGTCCTCACGGCAATAGACCCGGGCACAGAAATCCAGCCGATCCACCGGAAAGACGGTGCCATTCCGTGGCACGGCCAGCTCCAGTTCCGCATAGTAGCAATGCTCCGCTCGGGCTGTGACATGATTTGGTTCTAGATTATCTATATATACATATGTGTGTGTGTGTGCTTACTGGGATGCTGCGTATTGCCGCGATACTGAGTGCTAAAGCCGTGCAATGGAGCTGCCAGCAGCAACAGTAGCAATCCGTTCAGAGACCAACAAATATCCAGCTTCCGTTTGTGCATCGCGAGCTTTCCGTTCTCCGTTCTCCGTTTGAGCTGCTCGAATGCTCGGAATTCGGCTTTATATGGCAACGGATGTGACACTGAGAACTAAGCTATCAGCTCTTCAAATTTCATTTGCCTCTTGTTCTCCGACTTTTTGTCTGTTCCGCATATATATATATATATAGAGTGAGAGAGAGAGAGAGAGAGAGAGTATACTCTCAGCGCGGCACGTTCGTTAGCTTCTTTTGGTATATATAATATTACTTTCCGCTTGCCTATCAAAATTCAAGACTTGTAATTCTCACATCTTCAAGCTGGAGCTGTAGTTCCAAGCTTTGAACTGAATCTAGTTCCGAACCGAACCATATTCATGTTGCCAGTTCATAAATTAACATTTACACTGGTTCCAGCCGTGAACCGAACCAGTTTTCATGAGCCATTATAGCCAATAATGGGCATTTACCTGATATAAATATATATATATATATATTTTATAATAATTAAAATATTTATACTTAATTTTATTAACTTTATTCGAACAATATTATTTGATTACATTTGATATAACTATCTATTCGATATGTAGAGCATAGAACTTTCGCTCAGTTCGGGTTTGGTTCAATCATTTTTGTTAATAACTTTAACAAATAAATATTACGTACATACTCACACTGTCGTACTATATATAATATATTGGATTTTGTATACTGTTCAGGTGATAAGTAGTGCTTAATCATACAATACTTATAAGCACCTTTTTTTTGTTGTTTATCTCACGACCTGTTATTACGAGCTGCTTGCCCATTGTTTTTGTATTTCTTTCGATTTCAATTATTTACCCAAAGGCTAAGCAAATTCTTGCCTAATATATCTATATATACTTACCCTATAACCACGATAAGAGAGAGCAAGAGACAGAGAGAGAGAGAGAGAGAGAGAGAGAGAGAGAGAGAGAGAGAGAGAGAGAGAGAGAGCGAGAGAGAGAGAGAAAGAAAAAACATTTGATTGACTGACCGACCCACTGATTGACTGAATGACTGACTGATTGACTGACTGAATGACTGACTGAGTTACTGACTGATTGACTGACTGAATGACTGGCTGATTGACTGGCTGATTGACTGACTAAATGACTGATTGGCTGACTGAATGACTTACTGATTTACTGGCTGACTGACTGAATGACTGACTGATCGACTCACTGATTGACTGTATGACTGACTGAGTTACTGAATGAATTGACTGAATGAGTTACTGACTGATTGACCGACTGAGTGACTGACTGATTGAATGACTGACTGATTGGCTGACTGACTCACTTATTGACTGAATGACCGACGGAATGACTGACTGATTGACCGACGGAATGACTGATTGACTGACTAACTGATTGATACGTCGATATCTAACATTTGAAGCACAAAACTTGCCACGGACAAGGCCGGGTAACCGCAGCTTGTTGAACTATAATTATTTTTGATTTTAGATTAATTCTTAAGCTGTAGCAAAATCTCTTAAATACATTCGAAACTCTATTCACGCGAGCGTATTATTCAAGCATTTCCTCATAAATTCATGCCAAGTTTATGATGCGAACTCAAGCAACAAGGCTAAATGCACAAATAATGCAAATGCAGTCGAGATCGTAATGCGCATTTGCGCCCTAAATCCCGATCAAATTGACTTGCCCGAAAACTGAATAAATGTATTAAATATACTTATCAAAAAAATATATATGTACAAAAAGCTGATAAGATTTTGCGACCTTGCCAGAGTTATGTGAACTGGGTCAGCGACAGTGTTGCCACTTTAGCTTTTTTAAAGCCAAACTAGCCTTTTACGCTATTGTACTTTCGCGTGACAAATGCCATTTGGCCATTTCTAGCCTATTCATTATGCGGTTTAGCTTTAAAAGCAGAGTTTTTTTTATAGCTAGAGCAACATTTTAGCTTTTTTTAGGTATTTTATTTGTATAGACTTGAATGGATATAGATTTTGGTGGGCTGTGGGCGTGGCACACGAGAGTTGCAGCATCATAAATTTAGCTTGAATTGGAAACTAGCTTGAAAATCGTCTCAAGAAATCAATCGAAACGCCTGGCAGACGCCACAAACAGGGTATCTGCTAGTCGATCTTGACCATAAAGTGCATCAAGTTGTATAGACTTGAATGGATACAGATTTTGGTGGGCTGTGGGCGTGGCACACGACAGTTGCAGCATCATAAATTTAGCTTGAATTGGAAACTAGCTTGAAATCAATCGTAACGCCTGACAGACGCCGCAAACAGGGTAGCTGCTAGTCGAGCGCCAGGCATAACGTAAATCTCTAGCATCTGTGATGACTTTAGCGTTGTTTTTGCGCCGACGCCCCCGCGCAAATGGACTCTCGCTTTCAGGGCTGGCAGCTTGTCGGGCTTAATTAATGCAAACTAGAACTGAAAAGCTGAAACTGTGGCGAGCTTTATTATTAATTTGATATAAAGGCAACAACAATTAATTGTAATTGACTCAGTCGCACGTTCGGCGCCCGTGTAAACGCAAAACTTTATATTCCCCCGTCGCATTTCAGCCTTTTTCTTTTCTTTGCCTTTGTTGACAATGGACAACCGCATGGGAGTCGGAGTCGGAGTCTCTGTCATGCTGCTGCTGCTGCTGGCGCTGCTCTGCGCCGGCGCCGCCGCCGACCTGGGCTATCGTGCCAATGCCGTGCATCCAGGTGAGAGTGCGACCAGCTCGTGCAGGGCGTTCTAATATACTCAACTGTTTGCGTCCAGACTATCCGGGCCAGTGCTACCTTGAGGAACTGAAGCAGCCGATACCCAAGTATCAGTCGTACAAGCCCATCAATAGCGCGGGCCACTGCAACTCCTTCTACTGCCGGCCGGACTTTGTTCTCGAGATTGGCTAGTAAGTCAGCGATTGCCTTCCATTTAAATAGCTCGCCTCAGAAAACAGATAATCCTTCACGCTACGCTCTAGATTCATATGCATAACATACTATATATATCATATACATCATATCCGATCAAGGTTTGAGCCAAGAAAAAGCCCGCATGGCTAAGCCTTCTGAGCGTCTGACCAACAAAAGAGAAGTCGCTGGCTCAAATGCAACTACAATTTGTAATACTATTATATACGTATGTATATATTTATGCCCTGAAGATGGTTTCAAAACAAATGCGTGACGGGAATCTCCGACTCCGGATGAATATATATATATATATATATACATATATATATATATGTATTCTTGATCAGCATCAATCGCCGAGTCGAACCGTTCGAGCTAAACTAATTTTGAACGCAGCTCCTTCTTGTGCCCGCACAGCGCGAGTTTTTCAATCGATAATCGATAATCGATAACTTGCCTCGATTCCAAGCAATCGTTCAAAATCGATATCGAAATCATGTTTATCAAGGAAAAAGTCTAGAGTAAAGTCTAGAAAAGTCTAGTCTTCAATGAGCTCCATTTGTCTATGCTATATATACATATATTATATGTGATATATATCATAGGATTTCCAACCAATTATCGTATATATAGGCACATTCTTATATATATATATATAATCTGTTCATTATTTGTTCGCAGCTGCGGTCGACACAATCTGATGCCCACGAAGAACTGTAAAATTGGCTCCGATATGCGTCTGATTTTTCCACAATGTTGTCCCAAGCTGATCTGTCAAGAGCCGGAGTCCAATGATATTTAGTTCTATATTGTACATATATCTATCATATCAATATTATATTATTATTTCTATACAAAATATTTTGAATAAACCTTACACTGCTTTGAGCTGAGTTTCTGAATGTTTCGAAAACAGCTGTCGCTTTTTATTGTACCTGAAGATATAAAAAGCAACTGCCAGACAATAGCTAGTATTTTCCCAGACAATGGATATACCTGTGCCCATATCGGCATATATATGAATTTCTTTAAAATTCAACTGAAAAGCTGCTATTTTCAAAGAACCTCAAAATATTATTTCATACATTATTTATATCTGAATTCCTGATATGTCGCATATATACCGAAAAGTTGAGACTGGTATTTTTTAGTATTTTCTTTGACGATTCGAATTTGAAAAGCTAACCTCAAAATATAATTCCATACATTATTTATGCTCTTAAAGAAGCTTTTGATCGGGATCTTGCAGATCTTTCATGCAAAAGCGAAATATACTATATCTATTCTAAACAGATATAATACATAATATGGTTAAATTGAATTCCTGATATGTCGCATATATACCGAAAAGTGAAGACTAGTATTTTTTAGTATTTTCTTTTAGGATTATTCAAGAACTCTAAGGAATTTGGAAGGAAAGAAGGAAAGCTTTAGAACAATATCCGATATCTGCCACAGTTTTACAGCTTAAGTGTTGAACAACGGAAAAAAAGACAACTCCCATCGAGCGGGTGATACATATATTGGGTAAAAATAGAAATATCCTTAAATATGATCAAAATTTGCAGCACTTTCTGCTTCCAGCTGATATTCATATGCATATATATGTATATATATCAGACTGAAGCGATTTCTCTCGAATTTCGAATACCTACCCAGCACTACGGATTTACCTTTAGTCATAGATCTAACTATCTGTAACTCATCTGTGAGAACAGCGATATCTATCAAATTTTGCAAGTTTACTCAAAAAATCAATTGGTTCTTATAAACAACAACAAACGTTTGTTTGTTTTTTTTTTTTTTAAAGAAAAAACTCTCGATGCAATTAACTCAATCAGAGCCTGTTGGCGACAGGGGGTGAGGCCGGAGAGGGGAGGAGGGGGGGGGGGGGGGGGGGGGCTGCTGCTAAATAGTGAACAATTAAACAATTCAAATGCGACTTGTGTTGGAATTTCAAAATGAAAAATCGGCAACTAACGAATACGCTACGTTGCATGGACATCAAGCAAATGCGAACCGGTTCGTGTTCCAGTTCCAAAAATTATTTCCTAACATGAACTGAACCTGGGTTCGGGTCTTAAAGAAACTGAATTGGTTTCATTGGAAGTTCGAATATATGTATATATATATATATATATATATATGGGATATTCGGGAATAGATGAATCGATCTCAGGATCGAAAAACTATTCAGGCATATCGAAGATATAAGGGATATTCGGGAATAGATGAACCGATCCATTGCTGGAAAAAATTGTTATACTCTTAGAGGGGGTGGTATATTATATATACTATATCATATATATCATAGATCTATAAAATAAAGGTGGAATTTCGAAATGCCCTTGGCAATTACGAGCTCCAAAAGGTAAGCCATATTTCATGTTTAATCTTAAAAAAAAAAAAACCTATCAGCTCGCGTAGCGCACATCTGAAAGTCGAGCTAAACAGTCTGAAATAAACAAATTAGTTTTTGTTGTTGTTTTGCAAATTAGAATTGTAAATTCGCGTAACTGTAGTAGGTAGACATAGTTGGGGGTATAAATAGCTAACTGGTTGAGCCAAAGGGGCTTCAGTCGATCCAAACAATTCCACAATGATGCGCAACAACAACTCAACCTGGCTGGGCGCAACAATTGGGCTGCTGCTGCTGATGATGATGCTGGGCAGCTGCGAGGCAGGTGAGTTGCTGGCGTTGTTAGTTCCAAGGAAGCTGCAGCTAGTTAGTTAGTTGGCTCATTTAAACAGTGAGCGAGCCCGTGTGCACGTACCGCAATGCCGAGGACGAGACCGTGTTTCTCAAGTATTTGCCGCTGTTGAAGAAGGGTCAGGATTATGTGGACTTTGGCAAGGAGGGCAAATGCCTGAAGCGTGCCATTTGCACGGACACGTTCAAGACCATTGTCGAGGAGTGAGTATGAGCCGCATCTATCTATTTCTGTCTATCTCTGACGTCAACGATCAATTCAAAACAGATGCGCCGACCAAAAGGTCACCTGTCTCAACAAGCAGCGCTACACGGGCGTCTTTCCCGCCTGCTGTGTCAAATGCCCCTAGATGAGGATGAGGATGCGCCTCCCCCTCCCCCTCAGTCTCTCTCTCCCACTCTGGCTGGGACACGAGCCATATACAATAATAACAATCTAAATATATACATGTGTATGTTGAGTTTAAACAGAATATGATTAATAATAATGACAACATTTCTTGGTATACCGTTTTAGTTCTTTCTGGTTTCGTTTTTATTTGTCTTAGCTATTTATTTATCCATTTAATCGCAATAATTGTTTGTTTTTTATGTGTTGTTGTTGCTGCTGCTGTTGCTGTTGTTGTTGTGATTTCAATGTAGCCTTACGAGTTGAGTTTCTCAATATTTCACAATTACTCTAAGCCAGATCTGTTCAGCAGTTGTGTGTCTTGGGCTGCCGTTGACCAACGCTTCTTAAATCTCTCTTAATTAATGCTGCATGTTAGAGTTATATAGTTTCTTCTTCAAATTTTTCCCATTTTTTTCCTTCGTTTATGTTATATAAGCTTTTGTTTTTCTTTTAAATTTCTGTTAAAACATAATTCTGCTGCGTGCCACCAAAATTTTGTCATGCCACCAGACAGCAGAGTTGAAAAACAAAAAAAAAAAAAAAAAAAAAAAAAAAAAATTAAACGAAAAATCGTAATTACACAATATGATAATAATAATTTGGGGCCAGAGTTATGCTCTCTCGCTCTCTTGCTCTGTCTCTCTGTGTGTGAGTGTATGTGTGTAGGGGGGAGGGCTTGTGACTGTGTGAGTGTGTGTGTGGTGCTGCTTATGGTTATCCCGGCGCTGCAGTTCTGGATGTTGTTTTATCGCTTAGCTTGCTGATGTTGCTGTTGCTGTTGCTATTGTAAACCCTGTTGATCTGCTGTTTTGTTTGCTTTTCTTCATTCATTTATTGTTTATATTCAGTATAGAGCTATAGCTTATAGATCCTCATCCTCGTCGGGCAAGGCGGTCGCCTGCGCCTCCTGCAAGTCGCGCTCAATTTGCAGCTGCCAGTCTTTATCCATTTTGACCTCCGGTGGCAGCAGTGCCGGCATTGCCACGAACTCCAGATTTGGATCGCCGACCAGTTTGCGGGCCAGCCAAAGGAATGGTTTCTCAAAGTTGTAATTCGATTTTGCCGAGATGTCGTAGTACTGCATAAACAAACAAGAAATTGATCGAGATTAGCAAAAATTGTACAAGGTTACGGTACGTTTCTATTCAAAACCAACTGCTCCTCTTCGTGTTCTCTCGTGCAAAGCATCAACAATCGATAACTTTTAATTGCGTCTTTTTATCGATACTCCACAGAAATTTGAAAATAAACAAAGCACAATTCCTATTATTTTTGTCTGTCGTAGCTAGGAAACTACAAGTCTTTCGTTTTATTTACTTGTTAAACGAGATGATAAACTGTTTGAAAACAATTTACCAGCAATATCCCAACTGTAAATCAAATCATTCGAGTATAATTTCATTCATTTACTCCAAGTGGATAAAACGAGAGAGAGAGTGAGAGAGAGAGAGAAAATACTAGAAACTGTATATTTTGTATGTGACCCACTGTCGATGAACAGTTTTTTGTTTTGAGCTATCGCTGTCTCGCTCACTTCTGCCATCCATCTCTGTTATATTCGTTTTGTGACATGTCTGTGCATGTTGTTGATGCTTGTGCATTTTATGGGAAACGCTTTCTAAACTTTAAGCACTCACCTGCAAGTTTTTCTTTCGGTGAAACACAATGCTTTTGGCCTTGACCTTGCGATCCTTGATATCAACTTTATTGCCACAAAGGACAATCGGTATATTCTCGCAGACGCGCACCAGATCCCTATGCCAGTTGGGCACATTCTTGTAGGTGACACGCGATGTTACATCAAACATAATGACGGCACATTGTCCCTGTATATAATAGCCATCGCGCAAACCGCCAAATTTCTCCTGTCCGGCCGTGTCCCACACATTGAAACGGATGGCGCCTCGATTGGTGTGAAAGATCAATGGATGCACCTCAACGCCCAGTGTGGCAACATATTTCTTTTCAAATTCGCCGGTCATGTGACGTTTGACGAAAGTTGTTTTGCCGGTGCCACCGTCGCCGACCAGCACGCACTTGAATGTGGGCATATCCTGTACTTCCTGAGCCATGTTGCCTGCCTGCTGTTGTTGTTGTTCTTGTTGTGCTTCCTTCAATTTATGTGCTCTACAACACTATACAAAATTTCAATTCGCACACGGTCCCTCTGGAGTTGCTGCTGCTGCTGGTTTCTGTTGAAGATGCGTTTAAATTAATATCGTTGCAGAATTTGTGTTGTTCGATTTTTAGGGCACGAGGTTTGATGTTAGGCGTGCGGCGAGCGCAATGCGAATGCGGCCAACGCAAGCAGCGCACCAGAAACGAAAGGTAGAGGTCAAAGCAGAACGGCTAATGCCAAAGGCCGCACTAAAGCGCGCCAAAGGACAACAACAGCTGTTCTCAGTTGCGGGGTCTCTTTTAACAGCGAACAGAGAGCGAGACAGAAGCAAATGCAAGAGAGCAAGCCACAGGGCAATAAAACTGCAGCTGCCGTCGCTGTGTATGTGTGTGTGAGCGCGCGTGTGTGTGTGTGTGAGTACAGGCAGGTAGCATGCGACCATGCCGTGAGAGAAGGCTGACATACAATTGTTGTTCTTGTCGGCTTTATGTAAGCGCAATAGTGGAATGATACTCTCAGTTTTTGTTTTTGTCACAATTGCAACCCTAAAATTGCAGTACTGCAAAATGCCTTAAAATGTTTTATTTAAATATGTAAATACGGCCAAAAATGTACAACACTTTGATCAAGCCACAAATAGAAGACATAAACAATATGTGTAAACATCAAGATTTCTATATTGCACAAATACATATTTTTGTATATAACAACATTTTTACTTGGGCTAAACTAAAATATATAAGTGAATTGTGTGTCACTCCAGTATTAATTGCAGATATTGTTGAAATGCGTTGCTTAGCTGACGCACACACACACACACGCACACAAGCACACGGTGGAGGCAAGAGCCCTGCAAGTGCGAGCGAGCAAGCGAAATGTATAGCGAGTGGCTGCTACTGTAGCAGACGCAACTAAAGCGCGCCAAAAAATGTAAACCAAGCAAACAAAGAGCATGCCAACTGCAATGCAATGTTAATTCACATGAATAAACGCAATGCAAATCCAATTCGCATTTGTCTTATTAATAAACACAATCAACTAACAAGTGCTAACGTATATTCTCGCACACCAATGCACACAAGCATGGGCTATTGCCGACTTATACACACGCACACGCACACACACACACAGACACATGCCTAAACGCCAATACACGCGCCAGTCTGAAACATGACGCAAATTTTTTTTCCTACTTATTCAGGTTTAACCTCACAAATTTGTGCGAATGGCCGTCGTTTGTGTGCAGTTCTTTTTTGGCATTTCCAAAAGGCAAATTATACGAAATGTTGATTTTAAGTTTAAATTTAATACATGCGCACAATTCTGCAAATATTTACGCTGGCATATCCCTCACAATTCTGAATCCATGCCAACACACGCGGCGGCGGCGGCGGCAGCAGCAGTACCACGTCGTGCGACGCCGGCCTAAAGTGGCCTTCTAGCAGAGGCTGGAGGAACAACAATAGCTTTGGCTATGTAGTTAGCAACAGATTGGGGAAAAGGGCAAGCACATTCGCAACATATATACATATATATGCATATGCGTATATATTAAATTGAATTGAATTGTGCACACTTAAACATCGTCAGCAGACAGACCCTAGACCACCCACCGATAACGTATTGCGACGCCGTCATCATCGCATTTGAGACGTTCGCAAATTTAACATCTATTCGCAGGCAAGCTAACAGCGTGTGTAGTGTGTATTTTGGCTTTACTTACATGCTGGCTTTCTTTTTGTTTCAACAATTAGCAAGAGCACACAGACTAAATGTTTCTTTCAACAGCACGGACACAGAAATGACAAAGGTATTGCTTCTCTTATCGAGTATTACTTCGCATCAACCTTACTTTTTTCTCGTGATCCTGTTTGCAACTAACAAATATATCGATATAGCTTTTGTGACGATAACTTCAAGTTGATGTATCAAGGCGACAGTGTAACCAACGGTTACTATTCAGTTTGGATAAATGGGCTGTGTGTATAATTAGTATTTATTAAATACTGAAAACCGGAGAGACATTGATATCGATATATCAAGTGCAATACGCTCGATTTGTAATCGACAGATAGTAATCGATAAGTCGTTGTTTTGCTTTTTATTTGTTAACATCACTAAATTGTACTTTTCAACAAAAATAATCAATACGATTATTATCAATTAAAATCAATTTTAAATTGTATATTTTTCTTGTTGTCCACACACAACATATACAAGGATGTCGACACGTCGCCAGGCAATTACATTGTATCGGAATTTGTTGCGTGAATCCGAGAAGCTGCCCTCTTACAACTTTAGGTGTGTGGGTATTGTGAAATAGCTTAACATAACATTTTTTTTTATTTTTATTTTTTTTTGTGGACAGAATGTATGCGCTACGCAAGATACGCGACACATTTCGGGCCAATAGGATGGTAAATGATTTTAAGGAAATCGATCGGCAGATGGCAAATGCCAAGCAAAGTTTGGAATTGATTCGTCGACAGGTGAGCTTGTGCCGGGTCATAAAATTGGGAAAACAGCTGTACATGTGCGCACATGCACACAAACATACACGCACACCAATCTACATGGCTAACTGTCTAATTGTTATCGCACTGCAGCACGTCACTTTTGACGTCAGCGTTGCTAACGATAACAAAACGATATCAGCAGTGTATTCAACACCCTCTCCCCATCACTTTTAGGTAATTATCGGTCATCTTTACACAACGGATAAGCTGGTTATCGAGCAAACAAAGACGCTGCGGCCATCCGACGATTAAAATGTTGCATCACTGTCATCCACTCGAAACACACACACACACATACACACACACACACAAAGGCAAATGGCACCTGGACAATAGCCGGCGCGGGCGGCCTAAAACTCGAAAGACTCGTTAAATTTGAATGTTGCTTTTTGCTGTATTTGTTATGTTCACGTTAGTTGCCGCCAAAAAACCAAATCAAATCAATCGCTGGAGATTGTAGAAGAAAAAAAAAACACCAGTTTAATAATATATTAATTACAATGAAGTAATATACGTGTACATATACTTTAATTACATATTGTATAATTAAGTACCGTCCTAAAGTACTTAAAACAAAAACAAAAAAGAAGCAATTGAAAAATGAAAATAGCATAGAAATACACTAAGAGGCGAGCCTATTGATATAAGAGCATACAAATTGTAAATATGGAATGTATATGGCGTCTATGCCTGATAGGTGCTGGCCGAAACATTGCCGCCAGTGCCCGTCCAGTTGGTATGGTGGAATTGGCCCTCCTTGCCGAGCAGCTCGTATGTATGGGCGCCAAAATAGTCACGCTGTGCCTGCAACAGATTCGCCGGCAATTTGGCCGTGCGATATCCATCATAGAAACTGAGCGCCGTCGATAGCGCCGGCACGGGTATGCCCCAGATGAAGGCATTGGCCACCACCTGACGCCATGCGTCCTGCCCGTTCTCGATGGCGCACTTGAAGAAGTCGTCGAGCAGCAGATTGGGCAGTTTTGGCTGGCGTGTATACGCATCCTTGATGTTGCCGAGGAATACGCTGCGTATGATGCAGCCGCCGCGCCACATTAACGCAATGCCGCCATAATTTAAGCTCCAGTTATTCTCGGTGGCCGCCTCCCGCATCAGCATAAAGCCCTGGGCATAGCTGACAATCTTGGCACAGTATAGCGCATATTTGAGGCTATTGAGGAACGTTTTCATATCCGGCATGGACGGCTTGCAGCCGGGTCCCTTCAGCAGGCTGCTGGCGCGCACTCGCTCATCCTTGAGCGCGGAAAGGCAGCGCGAGAAGACCGCCTCGCCGATGAGCGTGACGGGCACACCGTATTGCAGGGCCGCAATTGCTGTCCATTTGCCGGTGCCCTTTTGACCGGCGGTGTCACGTATGCGCTCCAGCAGATAGCCCTCGCCGTCGTTGTACTGCAAAATGTCCCGTGTTATTTCAATGAGAAACGACTCCAGCTCGGCGCCATTCCATTGGCCAAACGCCTCGGACATTTGCGGCGCCGTTAGTCCCAGACTCTTCATAATGTGATATGCCTCACAGATCAGCTGCATGTCCCCATACTCGATGCCATTGTGCACCATTTTGACGAAATGCCCGGCGCCGGCATCGCCCACCCATTCGCAGCACGGCTCGCCGTCGGCCTTTGCGCAAATGGCCTGAAAAATGGGTTTGATCAGTGGCCATGCGGCCGCATGACCGCCCGGCATCAGCGACGGTCCATGCCGGGCGCCCTCCTCACCGCCGCTAACACCGGAGCCCACATAGAGCAGGCCCAGCTTCTGCAGCTCATCGCAGCGGCGCGTTGTGTCCTGATACTCAGAGTTGCCGCCATCGATGATGACATCGCCCGGCGACAGCAGCGGCACCAGTTGCGCTATAAAATCGTCCACAGCACTGCCAGCTGCCAGCGAGAAAAAAAAGAAAGGAACGCAGTGTGATTAGACAAGGTCAAGTGTTTGTTGCTTGTTTCGAAAGTCAATGCCAGAGATGGGCGTGTGCTCAAAGGCATGCTGCCAAATACTATCGCCTAAATACTAAGGCCAAATCTAGTGTTGGGCTGTGGCTCAATTAGTGCTGCGAACCGCGATTAGAATTTGTGTAGGTTACTCTTTTTTTCTCTCTCTCAATATCGCAATCTAATTGATATTTTAAAGCGCTTTTTTGAAAGTGTTGTTTTTTTCGAGAACAAGAATTGCGAGTCGAAGCTTTGCTTTGTTTTTTTTTTTTTTTTTTTTTTTTTTTTTTGTTGTTTTTTCTAGTGCCAAAGTGTTAAAGTCGACCTTGACTTAAGGTCAGCCCAAAGTCGCTAGTTTCTGCGCTTTAATAAGATAATGACAACAAGTTTTGATAGCATTTGATAGCCCGACGGCAAAACCTTATCGCGGGCATTGATCTTGACCCAAGTGCTAAGCACCTGTTGAGTCGTGTTCTTTTTTTTTTCATTCTATATGACCTACATATACTGAAAGTCGAATGTTCGAGTGAGTTTGTGTGCGTGTGTGTGTGTGTGTAAGGGAATGGTCAACCGGCGTGAAGGAACTAAACAGGCACAGTATGCTGCTTCAGTTACCATGCAAAATGTAAATTCTCGGCCGCTTCTATTGAACTAGCTTGGCAGCATTAAGCTGCGTATTGAGCTTAAGCGATAACTAACCGAAGAAGCACTATTAATCGATAGCGTGTATATCGTTATAGGTAAACAAAAACAAATAGTAAATTATATTTGCACTCTCTCTCTCGCTCTCTCACGCACACACGCGCAGCCAAATGCTCTCCCGCTGTTTTTTTTTTTTGACAGGCCGCAACAAAACGAAAAGCTATGCAATTTTTGTGTGCATGACTTTGCTTTGACTTCCACACACACACACACACACACACACACACACACAGACAGACAAATGGCGCGATCAGTGCACGCCACTCACTCCACAATATTACAGCAACACTCACACACACACACTTAACTTACCCTTGACAAGCAGCATGACTTTGCGTGGCCTTTTCAGTTTTTCGACCATGTCCTTCAATGACTCGGCGCCAATCACTTTGGTGCCTTTGGCCTCGTTGTTTAGAAAGTCTTGCACCTTGGAGACGGTGCGATTATACGCGCATACCACGAAGCCCTTCTCGTCCATGTTCAGTATGAGATTCTGGCCCATTACGGCCAGGCCAATGAGTGCAATATCAGCTTTGCTGCATTCACAAATATTAAAAAAAGAAAAACAAAAACAAAATTGACACGTTGCACACAAATCGGCAATAACATTTGCTTACCCGCTCATATTTGTGTTTCTTGTTTTTTGTTTTTTGTATTACTAAATGATTTATGAAAAAAAAAAAATTGTTATTAGTTGTAAATTTGACGCGAAAAACTCGTTTCTATTTTCGCCTATGTCAATTTCGCAGCGCTGCCGACTTCTGGCCGTTTGCGTTAGCCAAGTGAAACTGACGCACGAAGCGCAAAGCAGAACCGATAAATGCCAAAAAGCCGTAAAGCTTTGCGCTAGAGCTGAGCGCGTCTCGTGTCACGCAGACGCAGGGCTGCAGGCACGAATATGCGAGCGTTTTGTTTGAAGCCAAAGAGACTTCAATTCAATATGGCTGCACTTTACAAAGTAAATTCATTTGATGTTTCCACAAAACTTTTTGTTAAGTTTTATGTGATGTTGTGTGAATATTTATTGTTCAATTTCAATTGGTTTAAAACGCAAAAATAAAAAAAAGGAATAAGGTTCATTGTCGTGCGTGGCAAAAGTTTGCGCTGCGCTCATCTCTAACGGCTCAAAGCTTGACACCACCTTGAGCCGCCCTCTAGTCCAGCTCCAGCTCTAGCTCCAGCCGATAGCTGCAGCGATCGATAGGCGTTAGCTGCAGCAATCGATAGGCGATAAATGCGCTTGAATTGAATAGACAAACAAGTAAATGCACATTTATTATCAGAAGCTTTACACTTTATATTTGTAACAATATGATTATAAGAGACACAAAAAAAAAAAAAAAAATTAAGAATATATAGTATGAGGCGGTGCTGGATTTAATTAAGCATCTTATAGGGATTGAGTATGCCATTGGGATCAAACATTTTCTTCATGTCACGCATCCAGTCAATGGCCACCGGATTCTTGGAATAATGCAGATAATCCTTTTTGAGAAAACCGATGCCATGCTCGGCACTGATGCTGCCCTTCAATTTGGACGTGTACTCGTAGACAAATGGCTCGACACGCTTGTAGATGTCCTCGTTGAACTGCTCACAGGACACGTTCAGATGCAGGTTGGAGTCGCCCAAATGGCCATAGCCGCACACAACTGTGGCCAGTGGACCGCATCTCTCCCGCATGACATCCACAATGCCATAGAAATCGCGCAGCGGCAGCGATATGTCATACTTGAAGCAGAAGCTCTTCTCGATGAGGCCCAGCGGCACCATTTCGCGAATTTTCCAAATCTCCTGCACCTTGCCGGGCTCCCCGGTAACAGTGCCATCCAATATTTCGCCACGTTCCATGCCCTCGCTAATGAACTGATTGATCTTCTCCTCGTCATGTGCGCCATTGCTGCCGGAGGTCTCGATGAGCATGTAGAAGGGATAGCCAGAGATGGGCGAGCTAAGGGTTGAATGTTGACATCATTAAATCTTAACTAAACTGTGCGAACAAGAAGGGGGACGTTTTCTGACTCGAGCTGCAGTCACCAAATTCTCGATTACCACACAAATTATCGATAACTTTTGCCGTTAGCCCAACAGCGTTATCGAATCAACAGACTAGCCCCTAGTTTTTCAAGCGTATCTCGAGAACTTTATGGATTAGAGACAGCAAATGGGAACTGTAGCTTCTTGTGGAATAAAACACGGCATAGATATTTCATTTTCTGGATACCTTAGTGAAAAATCGGCCCAACATGGAAGAATTGAAGAAACTAGTGTCAAACTGATTATCCTCTCTAAGCGCCAAAAATTGCAATGCGATCGGACAATATAGGCCGAACTAATTAAAGCATGTCTCTTGGCGTGAATAGATGATTGGGCAGCCAGGGTCTGGGCACAGGGCAACTGGTCGAGCACATTTACTTACTTAAGAAACTTGAACTGGGTTAGCGCCGTGTTGAGGGCCAGCTCATCGATGAGCTCACAGGAGCTAAGTATTTCGCCCAGATTGCGTTTGGCGCTGACAAATGTCTTGAGCACATCCTCAAAGGAATTGAGGCCAATGAAGGCGACATTAACGGCCTTGGAGACATGCGGACAGAGCATGGACAGCTTGGTAACAACGCCCAGCGTGCCCTCGGAGCCAATGAACAGATGCTTCATATGATAGCCGGTGTTGTCCTTCTTGAAATTGGACATCAGATCGAGCACCTGACCGTTGGCCAGCACAGCCTCGATGCCCAGGACAGAGCCATGCAGATTGCCATAGCGCACAACACGAACGCCGCCGGCATTGGTGGACACATTGCCGCCAATGTGGCAACTGGCCTTGGCGCCCAAATCCAGCGGCACGGTGAGACCCACATCCCGGGCACGCTGATCAAAGTTCTCCAGAATGCAGCCGGCCTCGACAATGGCAATGCCGGTCACCTCGTCCACGGAGAGCACCTTGTTCAGGCGCTGCAGCGACAGCACTATCTCATCGCATATGGGCACCGAACCGCCCACCAAGCCAGTGTTGCCACCCTGCGGCACCACGGCCAGCCGACGCTCGTTGCAGTAGCGCAATACGGCGGACACCTCCGCCGTGCTGCCCGGCTTGAGGACCAGCTTGCTGTTGCCTGCCAGTCGTAGGGCGACACAAATGAGTGGTACGTTCGGTGTTAGACTCTGGAGACAAGGCACACTCACCGCGTATGCGCTTCAGGAAGCATATGTTGTAGCCCTCCAGATCCTCGGTGAGCACATGATTCTTGCCCAGCAGCTGCTCAAAGTGCGACACATCCTTGTCGTTCAGCTCTGCGTAATTGCCGCGCTGCACATGGTCCGAGATCTGCGGCGGCAAAATGGCAAAACTTCTTAAGAATCGTAGCATCGCATTGAACTGCATTTAAGTCTAATCTGAGTCCCAAGGGATGCCAGCTCTAGAGGGTTCGAACTCTGTATCAAAACTGAGCTCAAAACCCATTTGATGCTGAATTTATGAAAATCGCCACTAAAGCAACAACTTTTTCTCAATTTCCTGGCAACTATTTTTTTTTTTTTTTGTTTAACTAAATTTAGATTTTTGGGCAATATTTTCAAGTTTTTTTTTTTAGAAAATATTTTCTAACTTCTAGGATTTTGTTTTTATTTTTTTTTTTTAGCAAATATATTTTTGATATTTTTAAATGAATTTTTTATTTTTGTCGAAAAAAGTTTGAAAATATTGTAATCTTTAGAAAGTTTTTTCTATAATTTGGTAAATTTATTTTTTTACTTTTTTATTATTTTTTTTATTTTTATTTTTAATTTTTTTTTATTTATTATTTTTTTTATTATTATTAAAAATTAAATTAAAAATTTTTATAGACTGAAATTATTATTGGGATAGAGTTTCTAGACTTCAGAAATGTGGCTTTTGGTTTTCTAGTTAGAGTTTAGATATTTTAAATATTCTTTAAAATATAACAAAATATGCTCTATTTGCATGGGCGATTACCCCAATTTGATGTTCAATTCGATTAAACTTTCCATAGTCTTTTATTATTATTATACAATTATTTAGGATTCATAGCAAGAAATAAAACTTCATATTATTTATTAGCTTTATCTGATATTCAAGTATTTAGTGTCAGGTATTTAAGCAAAACCCTATCGATAGGGATTACGATCACATTTGGCGAACATAGAACCAAACGTTCTACAATGGGAAAGTGTACGAATATATTGTTGAAAAACTATTTTCAAGTCGTGTATTTGAATCCTTTGCTCTACTAATTCGTTACAGATTGATAAGCTTTCGTTGTTTATTTGTCAGAAATTAGGGGAATTTGCCATTCACCGCAATGTGCGCAACTGTACAACTGTACAACTGTACATAGCGGTTAATTTTGCAACCACCATTTGCAAAGCGGCGATTGGGCCATGCTGGCCGCAAAGTCAACTCACCACAGAGCCAAGACTCACACTCTCGCTGCCTCCCTCCCGCCCTCTCTCTCTCTCTGTCACTCTCTCGCGCGCGCGCTCTCTCTCTCTCTCTCTGTCTGTTTCTCTTACCTGTGTCAGTTCCGGCAGCGGCGATGCGCTGCTCGCCAGCGTGCGCAGCGTTGTGTGCGTGCGTGTGTGTGCGCGCGCGTATGTGTGTGCGATTTGCCTGAGGGTGGCGGCTGTCGCATATCTGCGCATTTGCATGAGGCCCTGGAAGCGCATGGTGGCTGCCGCAGGATAACAGGATAACGGGGCGGCAAAGTTTAAGAAATTCCTCGGCTCAGCTCAACTCAGAAGGTCCTCCTCTATAAAGATACAATCAGGCATGGCGAAGATTTCAAATAATGTGGCGAAATCTAGTTTTAACCCAAACAGACTATTTGTAGACCGCAATTTGACAGCTTTTCTTCTCTTGCTTTGTGTTCTTGCTTCGTAAACGTTTCAACATTTGTAAGCCGCAATATGACATATCTGCTCCCGCTCTCTACTGAAATAAATTCATCTTTTGATTGCCTTTTAAGTTCTCCCTTCGTAATCGTTTTACTTTGACAGCTTTTCTTCTCTTGCTTTGTGTTCTTGCTTCGAAAACGTTTCACTATCTGTAAACAAATATTTGCCCATTTTCATCTCTTTCGCGCAATCCCTTAATATTTTAATTGCCTTTTAAGTTCTCCCTTCGTAAACTATTTACTGATTGTAACCCACAATTTGACGACTCTCCTCCCTCTCTCTACCTAAATAATTAAATATTTTGATTGCCTTTTAAGTTCTCCCTTCGTAAACGTTTCACTTTGACAATTTTCTTCTCTTGTTTTGTGTTCTTGCTTCGTAAACGTTTCACTATCTGTAAACCAATATTTGCCCATTTTCATCTCTCTCGCGCAATCCCTTAATATATTGATTGCCTTTTGTGTTCTTACTTCGTAAACGTTTCACTGCCTGTTCCCCCATGGTTAGCAAAGAGCTTTACTGCATCATAATGTCACTAAGCCCGACATCTTCGAGCCCATAATAAGCGCTTCATTAGTATCAAGAGTCGAGTCTGATAACCAGTCTCTTTGTTTTAGGAATATCTTGATGAAACTCTGCATAGGTACGACTTTCTGTTGCCGGAATCGGCTGAATCGCAGCACTATATAATTTATAGTTTACATAGAATCGATCTTCAGAGGAGAACTCTATCCGATGAAATCATACGGATATATCATTTTCTTTTATGAACATCTTTTTACTTTTAAGATATCTCAAGCCAATTTATGAGATTCATTATGATTTACAAATTTTTGCAAATGAAGTTTTGGGAAATTACGGATCTCAGAACGGAATAAAATATTCAAATGTTGTATATAGACCTTCGGTTCAAGTCTGACTGAACGTTCGAAAGTCTCCCAAAGATCTAAGCTCTCAAATGGATGCATGAAAGCGCATTTAAATGTCGCGTTACAGTAGCCACTCGTAAAAAAGAACTGCTTGAAATAACAATTGAATTTTTCTTCAAATCAGATGCCTGAATCTATAAACAGGGAGCTCCCGACTAGGAGATACCCTGAACCCTCTTCTTCCAACCTCAAATGCATATATATATTCTATTCTAGAAGCTATATATCAAGTTTGTTGACTCTAGTTCTTATTATTTACCAAAATTGCCCAAAAAACCGGATATCGATAGCGATTTTTATCGATTGCTTGGAAACGGAGTAAATGATCGATTATCATGTCTCTAGCCCTTATAGGTTCTGAGATCCTTGCGTTCATACATACGGACGGACAGACAGACAGACGGACATGGCTAGATCGACTCGGCTATTGATGCTGATCAAGAATATATATACTCTATGGGGTCGGAGATGCTTCCTTCTTCCTTCTGCCTCACATTTGGATTTTGTACAAATACAATATACCCTTATAAAGTTGTTGCCTGACTAAACCTTGCGGCAGCTTTGCGTAAGACCGATTTTACCTGATTTTATCTGATATTTTCAGGTACTTTATCAGCTGCTGTACGTCAATTGCGGCGTTCGCACTTTTGATTGATAGCGTCCAGATATATATATTTGCGTCCACAATCGTGCCTCGCTGGATGCGAATGTGTTTTAGCTATAGCGTTACGAATGTGTGAGCTTTTTATTGAATAAGAAGAAGAAGCAGAAGAATTAGCATAGTCGGTATTTGGTTGGGAACGTGTGGACAAACGGTAAACAATGAGAGCAGCTCGTCCCACGATCTCGAATGTGAAACGGATCCGGGCCGAAAAGCAGAGTGTGCTGTTAAAGTCAATATCTTTATGACCGCGACCGGGTTTACTTTGTCAATATGCATAAGCGTATGTATGTGTGTGTGTGTGTGTGTGTGTGTCCGAAATTTCCAGGTATAAAGGTAAAACTGCATAATCATAAACTCATTTACGATCCATCGAGTTTTACCTGCCTCTGCAATTGTTCTGGTCTGAATTGAGCGGAAGGTTAACAAAAACTTCAGTCATGGGCATATTACCGGATCAACCAGATCTTCCAGATCTGGCAGGCCAAGTAAATCCATTAAGTTGCTTTCCCACACTTGTTTCTAAGTCAAATTTAAAAATATGAGTTCGATTCGGTGTTTTTAATGCCCTGGAATCTAGAGTTCTAATAAATGAAAACCTTTTTCCTTTTTGTTTTACGTTTTGCAACACTTTTAATCACAGAATTTACATGAATTGGCTTTTGTTGTGCAACACTTTTTTGTTGAAATCCCATCAATCCAACAAATTGATAGTATTCAAAAATTTGAATTAAACTTGGCATCGGACCCTTTGAATTTATGTACACCCAACGTAGTATCTATGATAACGGTCATAGAGAGGGCGGTCACACTGGAGCGGACCGTCACGTATGACAAAGGGCGTGCGGCAACTAGAGTGTATGACACACATGCATGACATGCATGTACGAAAACGAACTAGCAAAGTTACGTCTATGTCGATCGCAGATGTGTGTCATACATGCATGAAGTTAACAGCGCCGCGTAAAAGCTTCATGCAGCAAGCTTTTGGCATTTAAGTGTTTGCATAGTTCGGTCACACAGATTATTGACAAGCTATCAGCACACGTTTGTTTTTGTTTACATTTGTCGTCTTTCATATGCCCTGTCCCTCTCTGTGTGTGTGTGTGTGTGTGTGTTTTCGTGCTTTGATTACGTCAAAAGCTTGCGTGTGGCATTGAGTGTATATGGCAGCTATTGATAAGCGTCATTTTCGGACTTTCGTGTTATCTCAATACGTTTATTTAATCAATATTTTATTATAAATACTTAAATTCGCTTTCCATACATATGCACACACACACACACATATATACATATGCACGCATGCTAGAGATGGCATTTATTGGCGTCATCTGTTGCACACGCGCCTTGCACGCACTCTAGGCACACACACAGATAAGCAAACGAGTGACTGCTCACACACACACACGTATACGTACACACACACACGCGCGCGCAGCCATCGCACGCGCCAACAATTTGCATTTGATATGAGCTTTCGTTCGTTCTGTTATGGAAAATAACCGCAAAGAAGCAGAGCAAAAAAAAACAACAACAACAAGCGCGCAGCTTTTAATGCTATAAAAGCAAACAATATGGCAGCAATCTACGCGCTTTCTCTGCATATATATACATATATATATATATGCATATATATGCATATATATGTATGTATGCAATGTATGTTTTTTGCAGTTATTTTCCATGCACATGTATATATGTATGTATGTATATGTATATGTAACTGCACCTGCACTAATATTCTGGCAGCGTCGAGCACTCGTCCAGTTTCGTCGAGTCGCGCAAATCGTAAACACAACCAAAACAAAACTAAAACTAAAACTAAAACGAGCGAAACGCTGAAACAAGAGCACGACGAAAAAGAGCGCAAAAGCTGGCTAGCGTCAGCTGAGCGTCGCAAAAACAAAAAAAAACAAAAAAGCTTTCTTCGCTCCGATCAGCTGTTGCTGAGCTTTGCGTCTCTTCTCGGCCAGCAACATGTGGCCGTACACTCGCCTACAACAACAACAACAAAAACAAAAGCTCAAGATCTGAAATTCAATGAATGAAATGATTAATATTTGATTAATATTATTAATAATAAATAATAATGGGCAAATGCATGCCCAATTATAACATTGCAATATAACTTTGCACTAAAGCTACCTTTTGTCATAATATCGATAATTATCGATATCTCAAAGAATATAAGACCTTAAGGACCCCAAAGATTCAGATAAAGCTATATATATATATATATAAAAACACAATTCCATCCAGATCTTTGATCCCAAGTGCTTAAGAAAAAAAGGAGGGAAAAAAAGAAAAACCCCATGGAGATATGGAATATAGCCCAATTCTTATTGAATCGAAATCCATTTGAAGTTATTCATTTATATCATTTCAAAATTGACAAAGTTTTTACTAGAAAAGTGGCACATTTCCCTATTTCAAATGAAAATTATATTCATTTCTGTTTATATTTCTTTTAATACAAGCCAAATTCTTGAATTTTGAAAGATTATCTAGTTTTTGGCTTATGTGAAAACGTTTAACACAAAAAAAACTTAACGTTCTTATTTGACTTTATAATTATTAAATAAGCTAAACATTGTTGAATGTTTTTATGTTATGTTGCTCAAAGATTTTGTAGTTTAAAAAGTGTAAAAAAACAAAATTAACAAACGAATCACAAATGAAATGCAACTGTATAACAGTTGGATTCACCATGTTGAGCCTGAACTCACCACGGAACCGCCCATCAGTTGGCAGCACACCACCACCACCAACAGCGATATGCGGCTGTGCCTGACTGTATGGTTGTCTCGCTTGCGCTCGTTGGGCAGCTCTGCTTGTTGTTGTTGTTGTTTCGCTTGCGCAATAGCGTGCTGGCTGCGGTTGACACCCACCCCAAAACCGGCGAGCAGCGCGCCCATTTTTCGCCGTCGGCATTTTGTATTGGACGCAGCCGCGATACCAACTGCAATTAGACAGCGACAGTTAAATCAAAATGGCGACACGTTTCTATTTGATAACCTCTTGTTGCCTACAAACGTTATGCAATACTGTAACAATTGCGGCGCCAATTGAAAATCGTATAACAATGCACAGTTTATATAAGATGGAGAATAGATATTAGATATCATATAGAGAGTACTCAATATGTATCAGCAATTCAGAAATGAATGAGTTTTGACTCTTTTAACTGAAACCCAATATCTTGCTTAAGTAGTATCGAAATTCATTATATAAAAATTTGATATTGTCGATCTGAACGAAATTTAAATAGAAAAGTTTATACTTGCAACTTAACGAAATCCGATTTCTATGCATTGCGAATTTATTCATTCCGAATTGATTTGAATTCTATTCAAGCTAATTCCTTTCTCCCTCAAAATATGCAAACGTTCGTATGAAAACCTTATCAAATTTATCAAGACTGTAAACCTATAAAACAAATTGTTGTTCACGGCTTTAGCCTAAAAACTCTATTCGTAAGCCTGGCTCGGTGAATAACATCACTATGTATGCATACATACATACATACGTATATCAACTACATCCATTTCTATATACGCATATGTACATGTATTTACACGCATTCTCGCATATACATGTACATATATATGTACTTATGTACATGCATGCATACATACATATGCACCTAGATATGTACCTACATACATACATATATATATATACATTTGTGCATACATATGTGCCTACATATATTCATACATTATACATACATCTTTGCATACCTTTGTTCATACATATGCACATGCATATCACACACATATGCACACATATGTACACACATATATGCATAGCTATGTAAATATATATGTACATACATATGCAGCTTCATACATACAATTATGCATATCTACACACACATACACATACATTCTCACACATACTTACATAACAACAACACACATGCAGAAAAATGTATGTATGTATGTATGCATGTACATATTCAAAATATGAAAAATGAATGTTAAAAAAATTGAGAAATAAAAAAAGATCTTTTAAGCCGAATTATTATTTGCAGAAATATGTTTGGTTTTGGGTTCAAAACTAATTTGGTTCGACTCATGTCGAACAACAAAATGAGCTGCGAGTTCAAACCCAGTTTGCAGGCTTCTCAATTATGTGATAAATAAACCATGGAATAATATCTATTGTCCGATTTGTCCGATTTTTAGAAACATTTTCATATGATAAAACAGCGAAATGATTTCCAAAGTCAGATGAAATATCTGAATCGAATGCTTTGCAGCATTCGAACTCGATTTATATATTTCTTTTTAACTAATTCTAAGAATTTTTTATTTTAAAAGTATATTTTTGAGACATCTAAGAAAGATTATAAATCGATATAAAATATATAGTTTAAATTTAAAAAATAATATAATTAAAAAATTAATTAATTTGGGTATTTAACTGGAAAATATGCACTTTTAGCTCTGTCAAAACTTTTTCGATCCGGACTTTTCCAGCATAAAGACGAATCTAATCCAAGTTTTGATAAGTTTGTTTCAATTTTGTTTAGGAACAGACACACATATAGACAGATGTATATGGCTAGGACGACTTGGCTGATTACGAACATATATATTTCTATATACATAAACAGTTTCTGCGCTGATATATCCTATATATGTATATATATAACCCTTTTCTTGCCCAACTTCCAAACTTTTCCTAAACAAGAATTTAATGTGCTCGAAATATGTCCATATATATACATATATATATATAATTTTATTTTTATACCCTGAACCCATTGAAAATGGGTATAAGGGTATATTGTATTTGCGCGAAAGCAAAATGTATGTGACAGGCAGGAGGAAGCTTCTCCGACCCCATAAAGTATATATATTCTTGATCAGCACCAATAGCTGAGTCGATCTAGCCATGTCCGTCCGTCTGTCTGTCCGTCTGTCCGTATGTATGAACGCAAGGATCTCAGAGCCTATAAGAGCTAGAGACTTAGTTGTAGATGCTCCTAGTTCCCGCGCAGATCGACTTTGTTTCCGATAATCGATAACTTACTCCGTTTCCAAGCAATCGATAAAAATCTATATCGATATCCTGTTTTTTGGGCAATTTTGGTAAATAATAAGATTTGGCTCAAAATTTAGATTTTTATTTTTCTGATGCCAATCGATAGTACTAATCCTTACGAGTCAAAAATAGTATAAAGTTCCAAAATCTGAGATTATTTGGCCGAGATAGTCTAAAAAAATTATCAAAAACGGTTGATTTTACAAACGAAACGTTTTTTGGTCAACAACTTTTTGCAACCCATCAATTTTTAATTTGTTTGAATGCCGTATGATAGTAGGGATCCGTACGAATTCAAAAAGGTATAATAGTTTAAAATCAGATTATATTTACCCGAGATTTTCAAGAAAAATATTCAAAAAAATTTTGATATTCGAACCTACGACATAACTTCCCTTGGAGATATGACGCTCCAAAACGACATAACTTCCCTTGGAGATATGACGCTCCAAATCGTCACGTTTTTTTTCAAATCGAAACTTTTTCGATGATTTTTTTGTAATATCTCGGGTAAATAATGTCTGATTTTAAAATGTTATACCTTTTTGAATGCGTACGGATCCCTACCATCAATTGGCATTCAAACAAATCAATCATCGATGGGTTGAAAAATGTTGTTGACAAAAAACCGATTCTTTCGTAAATTCAACCTTTTTGATGATTTTTTGGAATATTTCCATCAAATAATGTCCGATTTTGCAAATTCATACCATTTTTGACTCGTAGGGATCAGTTCTATCGATTGGCGTGAAAAAAAGGGAAACCCAAAATTTTGACCCAAGTCGACAAAATGGCATCTAAGGTTCTGAGATCCTTGCGTTCATACATTCGGACGGACAGACGGACATGGCTAGATCGACTCGGCTATTGATGCTGATCAAGAATATATATTCTTTATGGGGTCGGAGAAGCTTCCTCCTGCCTGTTACATACCCATTTTCAATGGGTTCAGGTCATGAATTTCATGAACCAGACCTTCTTACTGCGCGCAGGTTCAAACCGTACACCGGTTCGATGGTTTGGTTCCTCTCCCAGAAATAAACTGGAATTGTTTCATTCAAGTTTTGTAAACAGATGACAAAGTTTTGAAATAAGATCTGGGTATAAGGCTGTGGAGAGCGAGTTTCAAATAAACAGAGCCTGGCTTAAGCCGTGAACCGGTTCGATAGTTTGGTTCCACTGGAGTTGTTTCATTCAAATGTTGAAAACAGATGACAAAGTCTTTAAATGGGTTTGGAGTTTAGGCATAAGGAGAACTAGTTTCTTGAACCAGACCCGAATACTGGGTGCTGGTTCGAGCTGTGAACCGGTTCGGTAGGTTTCGTACCTTAGCCACATTTTTATTTCTTAACATATTTCATAGCTTGAATATATATTTTATAGCTAGTTCTGCTTCGGTTTGTTCAGTTGAAAAGTAAGCATTATGTTCGAGTGCGCAGGTTCGAGCAGGTTCGGTTCGATGTCTGGTTACAACATAGCTCCACTCGCTGGCTTTTGAGTATATCTAGCATTGCTTAATAATTTGACTTGAGATGCATTCATTTTGATTGAGTATTCATTTTGATTGAGCATATCTGCTGCCTATTAACCTATCTTATAAAGTAATTTCTCTCCACTCGCAGATCTTTGGGGTTGCCTTTGCTCGCCGGAAAACCCAATGCTGTCTTGCCAAGCAGCCAACCCTTAAGTCATTATGCCACAGTCAAGATCGTTGTCGGCTTGGGTTAGTTCCGCTTCAGGCTCAACTTATTTTCTATG